TCTGGCAGGAGCATCATCTCAGGATATGCGATGCATTGTGGTGCATATCTATACATGTGTAAAAAGAATTTTTTTTTTTTTTTTTTTTTTTTTTTTAACTCAGTCATACAGTAAAATCATTATTAGTGACTTTAAATGTACAATTTTGATTTTATTAAAATCAGAAATTCAAAACAGAACGAATTGTGCGTTGTTGTATCTTCTGTATTTCTGCTTTGCACGCTATCTACTCGTATATGCCTGCACCATTAATGAAATAATGTTATTTGTTAGGTCAAAGGGAAAACTCTATCCCTCCTTTTCTCCTGCAACATGAGATGGTTGACCAGTTTTTTCATGCTGCCTCAGCACAGCATTCATGCAAAAAGAAATGATTGTTCATTGTTTAGCACTGAATTTATCATATTTTATATTGTATTATATTGCATTACATTACTATTATGCAAAGCCGAGTTTTTTGCTTGAAAATTTACACTTAAAGTTGGCTTATTTTATAAATATTTCCTCTTATTTCTTGGCTTGTTTCAAAATTTCCCTTGATAATTTATCAAACCTGTAATATTAAATGAATTATCATTTTTAAAAAATTTGAAACATATTATAACCCCCACCCACATATCAAAGGCTTTTCCTGCATGAAGTGCAATGGCTTTATGAAAGTGAGTGTTTAGTTCCTGAAAATACTAGAAGAGATTTTTTGGAAGGTGTAATTAAATATGGGAGAAGAAAATTTTCTTTCGCATAGAATCTTACTTTTGTTCTCAGTGTACAGCTCAGATTTCAGAGGACAGTTCGGAGAACGCATTTATCCTTGCCACGTTCTGCTTCGCAGCTCGAATTATGTCGTAAGAGGTTGTGTTCAGAAAGGGTTGCATTTTTTTCTTTCTTACACACAGTTTCATTAAGTTATCCCATGACCATACTTTTTCACCTCGAAATTTCTCCATCCCATCATTAAGAGCCCTTTGTTTGTCTTCTCTCAATCTCGTTTTACTGGCTCTCTCCCTCCAGCTCTCCTTTGTCCAAATCATTTCTAACCACGCCCCTGAATGTAGGGGATAGTACCTGCTCCATCTCTGGTTCTTGACTTCAAGCATATCAGCTTGATTTTCTTACAACTTCTTTACATAAAATATTCTACATAACAATACTGTGTAAATAACAGTATTCTATATCATATTATTATGCACTGATATGGTTATCACTGAAATCTATAAACATCTGTAATATTTTAAATTATTTGATAACTCTCTGGCTATGTATTTTTATCAATTTTAGAAATAAAGTAAGGTTATATATATAGTGTTTAACTCATTTATTAGCAATTTCTGCATTATAATAATAATGATGAATCTTTGAAAATGTTAGTGATGAAATGTCAATGATTTCCCTAATGTCTTTATTGAAACATTGTTGCTTCTTTCTTATGGCACCAAGTTCTCTAGAAAAAGGTCTAAAAATGACTTTTTATATTAAATTTTAGACACTTGCTTTCATTCAATTTCAGCATGAATTTTTGTGGTATACTTTCAACTGTGCTGAGGTCCTTGTTATTAACCCTCTCACTGCGTAACTTTTTTATCAAAATAGGTTCAAAAATTGCATATTTTTTTATTACATATTTCAAATCTACATATATTTTAGAGTTAAAATATACAAAAATTTTATGTAAAAGAGTTTTTTCAATGTAAATTAGATCATAGAAAAAGGTTGTCAGAATACTGAAATTGAAGAATAATGATATAAAAGGAATATTTTGAAAATTAATATTGGTTAAATTATGATTTATTTTATAAAATACAAAGGTAAAACGCATGTACTAATGAAAATATTTACATAATGTAATATTTTACATATCAATTTTGCACCACTGTTGAACATTTTCAATAGAAAATGAATTTTCAGATTCATTACTATCTGCAGAGAAATCCGAGAAATTCTCATCAGTTTCACTGTAACTATTTTCAGTATACTTGAAATCAGAATCAGAACTACTGTCAGTGTCGGAAATATCGTCAGGAATATAGGTTGTATATCACTCGCGAAACGCTTCCTGCCGGACATCTTTGAGCTCTGAAAAGTGCACGCAAAATGCTACATTACATATTCTTGTATATTTGGCAGAAATGTGGACAACTAACACCATCTGTTAGCCCACATCTAAATAAACAATTAACATCACAGAAAAGCCGAAAAGAAACCTTGAACGGGGAAAGAGCGGGCTGCACAGTTAAATAGACGGCAAGTTCATCCTTGTGGAAATCGCATGTTGCGTAAATTTTGCTACTTTTACATTGCCAGTGGAAATCGCGGGATGCACACCTAGAGGGTTAAGGGGGGAAAAAATTATGAGGTTTTTTAGATTAGTCTTCAGCAACCCTTCCCCCCCCCCAAGTTTCCTTTCTTATAAGTCTCTTCTCCAGGTTTATTTATTACAAGTTCAAAACTTTTACGTAGTATAATTTTTAATGTCTGGTCTGATGAAAATACCTTCCTTCAGTTTGTCATCTGAGAAGAGTGGGAACTTCTTCCAGAGGCAACACCATATTTTTGTCCATGTCTATACGTTTTCATGAGATCCAATTTTTTGCAAGCTGGTGATAATATAATTTTTGCTACTTTCTGAGTATCTGCATCTGTAATTTCAACATTACTGTAGAATTGCCATATATTTAATGTATTTTTTAAGTATATACACAGCAAACCAAATCTTGGATGCACAACATCTATGTGTTTCAATATACTTAGATTTATGGCAGATAAATCCAAGCATATTCAGTGAACAGCCATCATGGGCAGTATCTACCAAGTGCAATAATATTAATATCAGCCGCATTCCTTTTTTTCTCGTAAAATTTTTTACTTTTTATTATTAACTGAACACTACGTATAACCATAAAAATAGCCTTAAAAATAGCCAAATAGATGTTCTTTGGAAATTCGTAGTTGGTAGTGAAATAGAAGATATGCTGATTTGAAAGCATGCTTTTATACTTTAGGGGATTGTCTTTGTTAATTTCAGGTGAAAGGCTAGGAAACACAAGAAGTTTTTCCCCTGACTAAGAATACAAGTAGTAGGCAGTTTTCGAATTAAGTCTTCACAGTTGGTGAAAGGGGGAAGATATTTCTAAGGCCAGTTTTAAAGCAAAACATTTATCTTTGGAAGGAAAATAAAAACTGGTTCCACATTGCCCATGGGCCTGACAATAAAAAAAAAATGGGGGGGGGCCTTCAAAGAGTGTTTGTACTTTACGTCTGTGAAAGACATATTCTTCCCAAGCAAAATTGTATATTACTGTCGTATTTATCAAAAAATTAAAAAGAGGCTGAAAATCAAAATAAGAGCTTTGAGGTATCTCAAATAATAAAATCATTTAATGGTTTTTCTTCGTGAACAAAATGATGTATTACAGTGCCCGATAATTGAAAGTGTGTGTTTGTGTGTGTTGGGGGGAGGTATTTTTGGTATCATAGCAGGAAGCATGTTCTTTTTTTAGATTATCTAAAGCAGGGGTCTCCAAACTACGGCCCGAGGGCCAAAACTGGCCCGCGAGCACTAATAATCCGGCCCGCCAGAGGTTTCTTTAAAATATTTTTTTTTAATTTAAAGTAACAAATAACATACACATTAAATATTTTATAATAACAGCCAATCTAGAAAATGCGTTGCTATCATGCGCGTTGTATATAAAAACATAATATAGACATTATACAATCATTTCTAAATGTACTATGAGGGAAATACGCTCTATATAAAAAATCTGATGTGGACACACATGAATTCCTCATATGTCCTTTAAATTATACGTATTTTTGGCCGCACTTCATTTAAACTTATTTCCTCGAATTTCATTAGAGATATAGTTCTCATTCAATCAATTCAGTTCTCACTTCGTGACGAGGCAAAAATACATAAAAACGCAAAACATCTTCAAACAAAACAGGAGTTGAAAATGTAAACAAATAGCGACGAAATCTAATATTCTTGGACAAAATTATATTTTTGCAAATGTTCAAAAACAGCTTTAAGAAATTTATGTTAGGTGAAACTGCATGAAAGTCTAAAAAAAAAGGATCTCTTTGTAAGGTCATAGCGTATAGATCCAATCACAAAAATCTTACTGCCTCGTTTAAAAACTTGTATGCTGTTCATCATAGTTGCATCGCCATGGATGATGAACTAACTGGATCTTGGCCCTCGAAGCTTCGTTAAAGCCCCAATATGGCCCGCGGGCTGAAAAGTTTGGAGACCCCTGATCTAAAGTATAAAATGTAACTTTAATTTTTCAGCTGAATTATATTTCTTTGTAACATTATACTAGTTCAGTTAGAGCGTGATATGGTTTACTCATGCAGTGTTATATTTGTTGAATTTTTTTTATAAAGTAATATTGAATTTAAGTCTTTTTCAAAAGCTTTTTACTCATATTTTACATAAGTATGTTCAACTGGGTGGCATCATCAAAGTGCTTAAAAACATAAATTTTATTTATAAAATTTTGAAACTTTTGGATTTTAGACTTATATAGCTATATTCAAGCATCCATTTTTATAGACACACATCAAAAGTATGCAAACATAGATTAAAAAAAACAAACATTAACAATTGGCAGCAGCATGGAAATAAACAGGCACAGCAGTATAAAATATATGCTGGCACTCAAAACTCATTGATTTCACTCTAGATTTTGTCTCAGTTGTGTGTTCTTCTGGTCCATAAGTTATAATTGATGCAAAATTTTACCAAAGCTTAAATCGCTTTGTATACTATTGCTTCTGAAAGGGTTAAGGCATTAGGAATGGTGAAATTGTCGATAAAAATAAATTTGTTTATTTATTTGCATCTGAAAAATAGTTGAATGTGTAATTGTATTCTTTTGAGTAATAAAAAATATGTATAGTATATAACCATATGGTACTGCTATGCTTATAATTTATCCATTTTTCCTATATAGGTATTATTTACATGCATTTTTATTTGTTGTATTTATTATTTTCAGATTTTCTGACAGAAGTTGGCTGAAGCTATGGGCACTACACAAATTATTCTCTGGTTTGAAATCTTCATTAGCTATTCAGTACAAACTCAGCACAATTATATTAGATTAAAATGATAAACCAATACTCATTCCAGAGCACTTGTGGTTGGCTCACCTAAATGTACATTTGTAATTTTATATGTTTCAAGTAAAATTCTTTCATTTTATTGTAAGACTACTTAATGTGTTTTATTGTAATTTTAAGTATTCACAATGGCACGATTCCGTTTGTATACTTGCAAAATTATAATACTTACTTCTGTGGTTTGGTTTATGATTGGAGCGGTAGTGCTCATGTATTATACTGACTGTGCTGGTAACAGTAGTTTATGTGTTAAAAGAACTTTAGTTGTGAAAGAATCTCAACTGGAGAGAGAGAATTTTTCTAAGTCACCTAAAGCACCAAAGGGAAGATTTGCACATTGGGAAGCTTTAGGTAAGTTTAGTTTTAGTTTTCTTAGTCTGAAATGGTATAAATTGAATGTTAAAAATTAAACTCTCTATCTGTTTTAAATGTGGATTTATGGTATAAACAAAGGCAGATTCTATGGGGTCATGTAAATCATAGTTTTGTAAATCTTTACATCCTATAGGGTTCCCATATTATTAATTAATTTTTAAAAATTGGTAAACATACTATGTGTTTAAAGCCTCAACTTTTGAGGAGCTTCCAGAATTTCAGATGTGATGGACATCTCATTTCATAAATCTGCCCCTGAGTATGTACTTAATAATTTCAGATTTATTAGATATAAATGTTACTACAAACTGATTAAGTAAAATTTAATACTTGTTGGTTATCCAGTACTTACCGATACACCACCTAAAATATCACCCATGACTCCAATTCATGGCTGCATTTGCCAGTACTGGATGCGGTTTCAGATTCTTCTACCAATGTGAAATTTTGTTACATACATATTATTCTATTGACGACCCAAGTAGCTCGATTTAATCCCAATTATGGATGACCACTTCCTTTAGAATTTCGGAGTAATGACTGGCAATTAATAACAATTGCCAAAATTTCCCCCAGCAATTAACATGATAATAAAGTACAGAAATATTTTTTTTATTTTCTTACCCTTTTGTTTTAGTTAAAAAAGAATGTGAGTTTTTTCCTCTAAATACTATTTTGATTTCAAGACTGGTGTCCACCCACAAATAATAGAATATATGTGAGGATAGGTAAAAGGAATGAATTGTAAAGCAACGTAAACAGCACTGAATAAACAGTTTGCCATCATTTGTTTTCCTGCTTATCAGAGCTCATGGAAAAATGGTGATAAATTGCAGAAAATAATGATCTGTTTGATTCCATTTTGAATGCAATTCCCAAATGATACCCACTAGAAGATTTTTTGTAATATATCAACAGCAACTAACAAGTAATGATTTATTGAGAGTTATGGAATTATTATTGAATAGTATCAGAATTTAATGTGCCAATCTTGTTTATTTAAAACTGTTCATAATTATCTGTTATGTTATTGATTACTGATGCTTTAATGTAGTAGTGGCCAGCTTTTGTAATCTTGGGAGTCATTTTAAATTGTGCCTTGAAGCTAGGAGGCCACGAACTATATTATATATTTATATGTAACATAGTTTGTTAACTACATACCACTATATACACAAATATTTAGGACTATGTCTTCAAATAACAAATCCTTATTATTTCAGGATTCTTGAGGTATTAATTTCAAATAATCTATACGTGAAAGTAGCTTTAAGAGGATTAGATTGGTTTATTTGGTTATGGCAAAGTATACTAGGGCTATCTGCTGAAGAGCAGGTATGCCTTTAAGGAGGACTTTGAGAAAAACTGGCTTGTATCTGTTACATAAGGAGAAAGGCATGGAAGTGCTTATGCAGCCAGCTATTTGCTTGGCATGAAATCCAGGTTGAACCACCACTATTCAGTTACTTAACCACTGAGCCACAGTTTGAACTAAGAGGATTAGAAGCAAATAATAATTAAATCTTGTTTATGTAAAACTGATCATTATTATCTGTTATTTGATCACTGATGCTTTAAAACAATGGCAGCCAGTTTTTATACTCTTGAACTAATTTGAGGTATTAATTTCAAAAATCTTTCAATTCTTGTGGTATGAATTTCAAATAATCTTTAAATGAAAGTAGTTCTAAGAGGATTAGAAGCATGAAAATAGACACCTTTTCAGAAATTCAGTGAATAATAATAAATTTTGTTAGCCTAGCTATGAGCCAGAGAAAAGATTTTGCAGACTACAAATTGGCCACCACTGCTTTAAAGTGAGTATCTGAATATATCTGAATAGTGGTAGTGATGAATGAATATCTGTTCTTTTTTGCAGAATATAAAACAAATCCCTCCCATTGGCCGGGTGAAATGGGTAAAGCTGTAGTTATATCAAAGAATGAAGAAGTTTTAAAAAATGAGAAATTTAAATTAAATCAATTTAACTTGTTAGCTAGTGATCGTATTGCCTTGAATAGAAGCCTTCTAGACGTTCGCATGGAAGGGTACGTCACATTTTATTATCTCTGAAAGGATTTTGTTAAACTAGTTTGATAAATTAAGGCACTGAATATGGAAGAAATGTTATAAAATTATTGGTTGAATACAGTCAAAAGTCTTTAATCCGGACCTCGAAGCTACAAACTTTCTGCGCATGTGTCAACACATAATGCGTTCACGCATGCGCATAATACGTTCACGCATGCGCATAATACGTTTACGCATGCGCGTTTAATGTATAACAGACGGTATAAGCTAAGCTAAAATTATCTAATTATCTATTTCAGTTAGTGTTGTAGATTGTGTCATATCTTAATCTTCTAATTGGATCCAGCTTATTATTTTTTGCAGACTTTTAGCGCAATTTTATAAAAGTAAGCTTGAACTTTCGATTATGTCAAAAAGAATTTCCGATTCTGGTGCTGCCAAAGGATCTACAAAGCGAAAGCATGTTTTGATGTCCATCAAACAAAGAGTGGAATAGCTGCAAAAAATGGATAAAGGCATATCGTTTGTTTCTCTAACCATTCCGAAATCTGTTTATCAATTTCACGCTGCTGTTCGGAAGGGCGGGGAAACGCCGGGGCATGCATTGAACTGGAAGTTAATCTGTCCACACTATCCTTATATTCAGGACAGATGTTTTTATTTTATTTGGCTTACTATTCTACTAAATGTAGTATTTCATCTCGATGTACTCTGTCTTTGATATGATTTAAAATCAAATTCCTCGTCATTATAAATATCACGAATACACATCAGATACTTTTCTGGTTGCAGTTTTCTAATTTCGATTATGCGTAATATAGGCTTTACCCATGCGTGCGTTGAAAATATTTTTTTAATAAAGTAAACAAATAAATATTATGTTTTTTTTTTGTAAATTTTGATACCCTTTAGATCATAATTGCTCTTTATTTCATAAATGACGGTTTCATATTTTTAATTTTACAATTTCTGCATGCCATCTTAAGAATTTTACTTTCATCAGATTTAAATTGATGATCCGGAAAAACCGATAATCCGGAATCGCCGAAGTCCCGACAAGTCCGGATTAAAGACTTTTGACTGTATTTTATTCAAGATAATCTTTATAATCACTTCACTTTAAGTCTCAGTAAACCAAAATTAAACATGTACTGGCAAATTTTATAAGCTTTGTGTACATCTGAAAAGAAAATGTAAAGAAAACATATAAAAAGATTTCAGTATGAATGAAATCAATTATATATATTTGAATAATAGTAAATAGACCATACAATTCCATAAAGAATTGTACTCTGTTAAGACGGATGGTAATTTTTAAATTCCACTCCATACGCAGTTAGATGGAGCAGACTGAAAAGCACTGAAATTCACTGAAAAAGGAACTTGCAAGGTGCAAAAATTAACATTTTCTGAGTTTTTTTAAGATAGATTTTTCAGTTTTTTCAGATATCTTAGACGATTAAAGTTGTACGAAGTTGAGAATGATCGAAATGGCTTCCCATGAATTTTTGGAATCTTGGAGGGGGTGAGGTACCTTTCTCGAAACTCTGCTCTCTACCATTCTGGAGAAGATGATGTTACAAAAGATAAACAATCAAGACAGATACATACAGATTTCAGTAGTGTAGATACATGCAAGTAAAACTTGGGGTAGCATGTGATAAGTTCTTCATAAGAAAGCTGAATTACGGAAAGTAAAATCATTATAGAATTATTAGAAATTGACATTTAGTCTTGAAAGTCAATTATAGTAACATTAAACCAATTTTGGCAGTATTTGTTTAGTGTAAGTCTGATGTTTTAATCATCAAGGCATGAGCAAATTATAAAATGCTTTTAAAAAATAAAGTTGAAAAGAAAAAAAGAATTATAAATTATTGTTTTTTATTTCTAACCGGTAATACACTGAAGTGCACTAAATTAGGGATACTTAATTAGTAATATGTTGCTGCGTCTTTGGGTTTGATGAATGCTGTTATATGATGAAGTATGGATCGAGTAAGTCTATAGAAATTTTTGCAAAAATGTTCAAGAGGTATGGCCTACCACATGTCTTTTAAAATTTCCCATAAATCAGGCAAAAGTGCTTTCGATGGATGACTTGCTTGCACACCTTCTTTTAGAGTAGCTTACCTGTGTTCATTGAAATGTAAGTTTAAGCTTCTAGATGGTCATTTCAAGAAGATAAATACTGTGCAATGCTCTTTGAATCTGGTTGTAGCCAATTGAGATCTCTGACAAGAAGAGCTAGCTTGTTAATACTTTCCATTTCTATCCAGATGGCTGAAAAGCATTAAGAGATGTAAGTGCTCACCCAACAAATATACATGCTTAGCTGCAATGAGGATGCATGGTACAATTGTCAAAATTACTAATTACCAAATATTGCCTCCCCCAACAGAAAAAGTAACCCAGACCATGACTGAACCGCTATGACCTTGACCTGACCGCTCTAATATGACCTGACCGCTTTAATATGGTTCACATGAGCCACAGCTTCAGGACACTGCTGCAATATTTATTAACTATAATTAACATTATGCAGTAGGAATTAAGACTTACCACTTCATGGTATTGGTTTCTAAGCATTGATGGTCCACTCATAAGAAATAATCTTGTGAGTCTTCAGCTCCTGAAGCCCATGTAGTAAAGTGAGCACTGCAAAGCCTGTCTAGTGACTTTTCAGCTGGACCCCCCCCCCATTCATTTGGAAGATCTGAGCAAAAGTTTAGGGTAACTGGCTAAGTATAATAAGTATAATACAACTGAGTCTTCAAAGATCATTATCATTCAAGGTTACGTTTACTTTGTAGTTTGCCCAATTAGTCTTTTATTTTCCACTGCCTATATATTCATGATATTGTAGAAAAAGAAAACCACAATTTTGAATTCAGGGACCCATGCATTAAGCTTGTTATTTGTCCTTGATGGAAGGCATCTAAATTGCAAGGTTTATCTGTTATTGTTACTCTAAGCAGTTGCTGTTAGAGGGCTTTATATGCAGAAATGAGTATCACAGTATTTACCTAATGCTCTCTATTCCTAATTCATTGGGTGTTTTGGTGTAAAATAATCAATTACAGTGGGTAAAAAAAGTATTGGCAATTGCCTAAAATTGATCATTCTAGCTATCAAAGGAAACACTTGAAAATTTTAGCTGGACATAATGAATTCACAAATCTAATGAAACTATGCCTTTTACACAAAATATACATCAAAAAGTAAATTTGGATGTCAAAAAAGTATTGGTAAGATCATACAACAAAATGTGGCAACCAAATTTAATACTTTGTATTCATACCTTTTGCATTTATAACAGCTTGTAAACTATTTCTCGTAGAAAAAATCAAAGTCCTGGTTGTTGAAAAAGTCCTGTTGGAATTTTGTGCCATTCTTACAGATAAACAGGTATTCTTACTGAAGTATATGCTTAAGTTCACCTTTACACAAAATTTTGTTTCCTGACTTCTAGGTCCAATTTGTGCTATAAATTTTCAATTTATGTCAGGCAATTGAGGTGGTGTCTTTGACTGGCGAGGAGCATTATAGATTAACTATTGCCAGGTGAGGTTCACTGTATCCTTAGGGTCTTAATCCTGTTGAAACACAAGTGTTTGTGTTTCTAAGCCAAGTTTTTGGGCACTGAATTTCATGTTATGGCGCAGTATGTCAATATACGTAGAGCCGTCATAATACCATCAATGAAGCACAGGTTACCAATTCTGTTTGTGTGTTGCCATATAGTCGCAAACTACAACGCTCCCTCCAACATGTTTTACAGTCAGTGTTAAATGTTTTTCCACTTCGATGTTAGGCTTTCTCCGTACATATTGTCGTCCATCACTCTCGAAATTGTTAAACTTTGATTCATCAGACAAAATAACTGTGTTCCAAAATTCGCCTCGTAAATTAATATGAGATTTTGCGAAATCTAATCTCTTTCTCCTGTTTATTTCTGAAATGAAAGGTTTCTTTCTAGGTGCCCTTGGATAATAACTTCCTCCATGTCACACATTCCGTATGGTCTGTACACTAAAAGTTTCATGCGAAGTATTAGCAACATCTTAGCACTAGCTAACTAGGGTGCACTTATTTTAGAGTTTTTTTAACTTCTTTGATATATGCCACGTTTTCTATTGTAGAAAATATTCGAGGTAGCCACTTCTAATCTTATTTTTTGTTGATCCTGTCTCTTTTAACTTTTTTACAACACATCTAACAGTAAATAACCTTATGTTCAGTTGTATTCCTATAGCACAATAAGTTAAACTCTCATTTCTGAGCTGAATAATCATGTTTTTAACATTAACATCCAACACCTTCGACTTTGAAGCTGTATTAGCAAAATAACGTTTTAAAAGTTTTGAAGTAGCACTGCAAACTTTATACTTTCCTATCAGTGTAAACATGTGACCCCAACATAACCAATGTGCATACTTTTTGGCATGCAAGTTACGTTTTTGTGTATATTCTGTAAAAGGCATCGTAAATTAAGTTTCATTAGATTTTGTGGTTATCCTCCTGTCTCGTGAAGTCCAGCTCAATTGTCATTTCCTGTAGGTAATATGTCAATTATAGGCAATTGCCAATACTTTTTTTACCCACTGTATGTGGGGCGGCAGATTGAAGTAGGATTGACATTTTACATAAAAATTTTGAGCTCATATCAGATTTATAAAATTTTATACAATTCTACTCTTAAGGCTAATTAATGACTAGAGGTAGCAATAAAGTATAAAATATTAAATTGTATTAATACAATTCTGTGCATGCCATTGTGGTTTAATATGTATGTTGATCTATAAAAATATATTGCCTAGTAACTAATGATGATATTAAAAAATAATAATAATTAAGAATCATTAAATAAGTGGTAGAATTAGTTATTAAGTAGCCATAAAGTGCTGAATAAGCAATGCAATTTTTTTAATGACTGGATTGTCAAACTAAATGTATTTTAGGAGTTGGTTTTGCCAAACTGATTGAATTCCATTGCTACTAAAAACTGTAATCATTTGAAAAGTGCTTTATGATCAGTCTGTTGACCATAATAGAAAAGTGAATAAATATGAAAATGCAGTTAATGAATTAATGTGTTATGTATATGTTTTTGTTCATACCCCGTATCAACGAATGTATGCTGTATTTTAATAAATTTCATTCATTTGATTTTGGGATATTTTATTAATACACATACTATTTCTTTGAATAAAAATTGGTTGATTGCATACCTTTCAAAATTTTATTTCAAACTGTCCCTCTCTAAAAGGATGATGTTAATTTTGGAATAATTCATGTTTTGTATTACAGTTATACTCAAAAACTTTTAATTGACTTTGTAATATTTTTAATATAAAAATTATCACAATAAAAAACACCAAATCTATTAAAGAAACAAGATCTTATTTAAATAAAAGTATATAATGTGTAGAATGTTCATAAATGTGAATTAGATTGCTGCTTCACCTTTTAACTTTTGTAAAAATCTAAAAAGTAGAATGGAATGGAATTTAATGGAAACAAAGTGTTTAAAAAATATCAGTTACATGTAACAAATATAATAAAGTAAAATTTTGACATAAATTTTTTTATGTAAATTTCTTAACATTATGATATTGTATTTTTTAGCTGTAAGAAAAAAGAATATCCAAAGTTCTTACCAACCACAAGTATTGTAATTGTATTTCATAATGAAGCATGGTCAACATTATTGCGTACTGTCTTCAGTGTAATACGAACTTCACCACCAACGTTACTGGCTGAAATAATACTTGTTGATGATGCTAGTGAAAGAGGTTAGTGTACTTCATTGTTGCTGTGTACTTCACATTCAACTGTGTACTTCATAGTTTCTTTTTATATGTTAATTTCATTTTTTTAATCTATAATTTTATCTGAAATTTTCAGATTATTTGGGCAAAAAGCTTGAAAATTATGTCTCTAAACTTAGCATTCCAACCAAAGTAAGAAGCCTATAAAATGTTTTATTTTTTAAGAATGTCTGGAATTTAACTGTGGTTTGTAATAGTGTATTGAAGAATTTCCAGTACTGTCTGATTATACATATCCCAACCTAAAAAAGCTGCAAAAATGTATTGATACAGCCAAAAATAATGTTGGTAAAAAGTAGTTTTGTGGTAACTCATCTGCATGTAGCACGCATGTGTTTGGGTACACATGGAGATGCACTTTTGAAATTCAAATGTCAATTTTCTGAATAATACTTCTTTTTGCATTAGGCACATTTGTTTTTGTTATAATGAATTGGAATGGAACTCTGAAGTTTGCCCTCTTTTATGTACATTACATAGAAGTTTCAATTGTTCTTGAGTGATTGTGCCCATGGCTGGTGCACAGTGCCAATGTTGTCACAATGGCAAGTTTGTGCAATTTTGTATTTTTTTTTCGGTGAAAATAGATTTCTCTGCATATGTTGAGAACAGTGCCAAAAACTAAGAAGTGTTATCTTCTAAGTAACAAGAAGAATTCCCCTCACCCCAAAAATGGTACTACTGGATGCATTATTGAAATAGGTGTTTACAATACCCAAATAAATGTTTCTCTCCAAAGTCAGCAACAAGTTTGCAAGTGCTTTCTGATGTTGCCAATACAGTTTTTTTGATTTTGATGTGGATAATCAGAAATTATGGAATTTCCTTTTCAGTAAAAAAAAAAAAAGTTACTCCTTATATTTATATAAATATTTGAATGGGTATTCTTTTTAACAATGTTGAAATCTAACATTGAAATAAATTTTAATAATTTTATTTCAAAATGCAAGCATTTAACCATGCATGTAGTTTCTAAGCGAAAATGATATAAAAAGTAAATAAGAAAATATGCAAGGGTTTTAGACAGACACCCAACTCATTTTTTACATGGTACTAGATACATTCCTTAGAAAACCAGGCAAAAACATTGGGCAAAAAATACATGTGACATATGGTAAATTTGGAAATATGTTCCACAACTTAAAAAAATTGTGCAAGATGAAAAAACGCTAAATATTTTCAAAAAAAAAAAAAAAGTTCATTAAAAGTAATAATTTAATCCATGTTACATATTTATAAAACAAAAACAATTCATTTTTATTACAAAAAATAAATAAAATTAGTGTACAGTGAAAATTCAGTCCATAAGTACATATAACAATTTAAACTGAAATTAGGAATAAAAATCAATTTTGCAACATTTCATCACTACTACTAGGCATTTAATTAATAAGGGTACTAAAACTTTTTTAAACTGAAAATTTAACTCAGTGTCACCTTTTTTATTAGTAAAAAATTATCATCAATACAAATTATACTGGAAATTTCACCATCAAATAAAAATTTGAACATTAGCTTTTAGAAGTTTATTGAAGTTATTGCATCCTATGAACTGAACACTTAACACTGAATAATGAAATTCTGTGTTCAAGTTAAAGTAGAATGAGATAAAGAATAAAGTGATAGTTAAATTCGAGTATTCCCCGTAACCACCAGAATACAAAGTAAATAAGCCATGAAGTCAAAAAACTTTAATGAAGTAAACCAGGTCACTAACACGTGTGTGGGCATAAACCGACCGACAAAAAAAATTGGGGGGAAGAGGGAATTCGTGCTAGAACAAAGCATTCGTGTAAAAAAGCATATTTATTCTTGTTGGTAAACTGTGTTATTTCAAAAGCATGTAAAAAAGAAGTTGGGTGTGTGTAATTGAGTGTGTAAAGTTTCGTTTAATATATTTTTAGTAATAAACCAACCATGCATGAAGTTGTGTATGAGTATTCTATGTATTTACTTTCATTTTGAATGAAACATAGCTTGGAATGTCACAATATACTTGCAAATGGATATGATTTTTATTACATATTGTATGACTTTTATTTAAATGAAATTTGGGAATTTGACTGGCTAAATTTTTTAGGGGATTCATGACTTCAAATATTTAAAAAAAAAAAACAAAAAAAAAAAAAAAAAAAAAAAAAAAAAAAAAAAAAATGATAATTCAAAACAGTATTATAAGTGTTATTATCAAAGTTGTTAAACTTTATTAGTTCATATTTTGATCTCGGTTTTAATTTATAGGAGGATAAATCAATCCCTTACATGACTAACCAACAAAATATTAAAAAACACAAATCTAACATGATATAGCTATTATTGTCTTCATATCTCCATCAATAGAATTTTTATTTAATAAGGAGTAAAGTGAAAAACGTGTTATTCGTATTTGTTACTATAAGTTAAAAGATCCTATGAATTTTAGAATCTGAATAGTGGTCATAATTGTGTTTCAAACTAGATCACAAATGTTGTAGCAGATCTGTCACTGTACTGAATTATGCATTCTCTAACATCAATTGAAATTCAGTATTGTCAGCTATTATATCTATTTCTTAGCATAGTGCCAATCATGAATAATGTTCGTTGCGGTATCCATCTTTGCATTGTCCCAGTCATAGATAATATTAGTAATTGTATCTCTTCTGATGATAAAGCTTATAATAACAATGACTTGTAGTCAGCAAAGCAGGACTGGCTCATGTCTTTTTAAATGGCTTAATTGTCATCTGTTTTGAACTTTATTAAACAAGTTTTAATAATGCAAGCATGCACAGCCTACCAGTGTCTGTGTTTTAGAGATTCTTTTAACCAGGGTGTTTTGCTATATAGTGTAACCTTTGTTAAAATTGGATAAATCTTGTACTTTTTTATATAGAAAAAAATGAACATGAAATAATGTGTGATAGAACTCTGATCCACATGTTATATGCAGTATTCATGTATACCTCTTATACTGTTGCATATTTGTGTGTATATTTGATAATAGCTTTATAATTATGTAATAAAGAATAAAATAATAAAATTTATTGCTAATATTTCTTAGTTTAAAATAGCTCTGATCTGTGAGAACAAAATCTGTGGATAATATTCTTGAATGAGAAGTGCTCAGTTTGCCATGTATTGCATTAATATCTTAAAGAAGTCCTTTATTGAATAAGAATATAAACTTGCTTTTCTGTGGCAAACTTTAATTTTCTGCAGGTTATGAGAACTGGGAAAAGATCAGGTCTCATAAGAGCACGGCTTCTGGGTGCTGCTGCTACAACTGGGCAGGTAATAACATTTCTTGACGCACATTGTGAGTGTACAAAAGGTTGGTTGGAACCTCTGCTGGCACGGATTGCTGAAGACAGGTAAACATTTATTGTTTTTGTGATTACGACTATGCACAGTAAACGCTCATTAATTTGGAGTTTACTGAGTGGAGTTGTGTGTGTGTGTATATATATATATATATATGTCAGATTTTTCATGCTGGCTGAATGGAAAGAAGAACAGATGGCGCTGATACAAATGAATTTTGAAGAAGTCCCAATCTTTATTTTCCTCCATATAAAACCATTTTAGTAGAGCTAGGGAACAATTTCCTAGCTGTCGTAGTCCTGTCTTGGACCATAATTAAATTTTGCACAGTGACCAACATTTTCTGTTGCTCGGATAGACCTGATTCAGTGTTTCGATTGTGACTTTGTCATCTAATTTTAGAGTCACGGCATGTTTTCATTTTTGTTGATGTCATTAAATTTAGAGTAAATAACTTCAGCAAAGTCATTAAAAGTAATAGTTTCCGCGGTGGAGAAGTAGGTAAAGAATTTATCATTTAGACCTTTTTAATTTAATTTGACACATTCTCTTAAATAAAATACTAAAGCCTCATAAGAGCATGGCAACATTCAGAAAATACTAACAATTTATCCTTTTCGCCCACATTCTTATTTTCTCGCCTTTCGTCGAATAGTAAAATATACTTATCTCTGAGCATATCATTATTGGAGCCATAAAGATGGCACGCTAAAATTTATTGTTACTAACAGTTGCAATTTCACTTTTTTCTGTAGACATTTTTGTTTTAGATCTAGTTTGCATACTTGATAGTAGAACACAGCATTGAGATTTCACATTATACCAAAACACGAAATTACATCACACTAATCACGTACCAAAATTTTTAAAGAATTTGCAGAATAATCACTTTTTACTGATTAACCAATTTGAAATGCCGTCGATGGCACACGTTTTACTAATTACATGATACACACACACATCATTAGAAACATTCAGATGTCGTTATAAACACATGATACATGCACACATCACTATAATTTTTTCACATTTCACTGTTGAGATCGATGTCACAGTTTAACGAAGTCACCTCCGTTCAAGAAAAAGAATAAACACAGCACCAGAAGACCTTAGCAGACACCATTACTAGAACCTTGACACCCTTTCATTGCAGTAGATAAGCACACAGTATCCATTTCTTGTTTTCGCAGTTACTGGAAATTGTAGGAATGTCGAAAATCCAGTAATCCAATTGAGGAAACTTTCACCAGGTTGATCCTGTCTGACTTTTACCTGTCATATTTTCAATATGTAGTTGTGTTATTACTAAACAAATTAAAAGACTGTTCCCAATCTTTACTGTGTCTAAACACTGTGTCATCTTTATTTTCACGCATGTGAAACCATCTTAGTATGTATTTATCCAATCAAAATGAATTACAATACTTTCTTATATACACAGATTAACGGGGATACAACGTTATTTTAGAATAAGAGAAAGATGGGCAGAGTAGCATAGCATTGATAATGTGGCCAGAACTAGAAAAAGAATGACATCATTTCTTGCATGCATTATTTATACCAAAGTAGATGCAATTGTAAAGACAAGCTATGATTGCTTAATTTTAGTTACCATTTTAAGGCAATATTACATGATATGGAAAGATCTCGAATTTGGGAGAACAGATGAATTTAGGGGGAGAACATCAAATCTAGAATAGTTATTTTTGAGGTCTCCAATTATTTTTAAAGCAGCTATCGTATTTTGTTATATCTTACATATATATTGTAATTTCTCATGAATTTGAAAGTTTTAGCTAGTTGAAAGTTAAGTTAAAATCTTGAAAATTTCACGCTTCAAAAAAATAAGTACTGTATATTTTCGTGTATAAGTTGAGAATTTTTGGAACTTATGTAAAGTTAAATTTTGGAGATCGGCTTATGTATGGATTTGCTGGTACTTTTCCGTTAATCTGGTGCAAGTGATAAATCACTAAATATTGCATTTTAATTTTTACTTCCTTGTATGAAGTAGAGGACATATCATAATCACCAAAAATTCTGGGTATCATATTTCAGCAAAAATATCAATTTTCACCACTCTCGAATGCAATTTAATGATGTTTCTGCATGACATATGTATATAATGACAAAATAAAGAACTCTTTTTTTTTTTTTTTTTTTTTTTTTTTTTTTTGGCCAAACAAACTATAAAACTGATTTAAAGTGTATTCAGAAGAGTTTTATTCTTTATGTACGTATGTATCTCACATAATTTAGAAATGAGTAGCCTTAGAATGTTGAAATTTTGTATATAGGACTGCTATAACATGTAGTTGTGCACCTCCCTTTTTGGTTGCAATCGGCCACACCAAAAGTACACACATACCCATTTTGTTACTCATCTCAGTGAGCTAAGTTTCTTTTATTCTTATATGATAGTAAATTGAACATTATTTGCTTTAAAAATGATTGAATTATGTTGTTCTTATCTTATGTTGAACAACAACTGCATCAGAAGCATGTTTTCTTTTGTTGTCGACCCAAAGAAACCTCAAAGTGACTACAAGAGATTTGGTTTTAGATCTCCCCCTTTCCGCGACCACAGTTTAATGGTTTGAGGAGGAATCGTGACAAATGGTCACACCAAGCTGCATATCTTTCAAGGAGGTTATGTAACTGCTCAGAGATATGTGGGTGAGGTATTGGAACCCCAAATTAGACTGTTTTAGGGTGCTGTTCTCCCAGAGTTTTTGCTAATGGCTGACAATGCTCGGCCTCATCAAGCATATGTGGTGTCAGAGTACTTGCAAACTGCAGATATCACTCTAATGGATTGGCCACCTTACTCACCCAACTTGAACCTGATTGAGATGTGTGAGATGCCTTAGGGTGCTGAATTTCTCGCCAGACCCTCTAGGTGCTGAAAAGTGCACGTTTAGAAGAGTAGTGTGTAATTCCATGAGACTTGATTAACACTTTGGTAACATCTATGAAATCAAGATGGGAAGTATGCATATCTGTCTGAGGTGACCATATGCATATTAAAGAAAAAATTTTCACAAGAAGCAACTTAATTTTTCCATCATTTTCTAGTTTCTGTAAATTTGGTTTTTAAAATAATTAACTGCTAAAAGTTGTAATTTATGTTATCTAATGCTTTTGTATAAATTACTATTAATTTTACATTAAGTATCGGTTAAATTTTATTTCTGTCATTATCCTTTAATTTTAATTACCAGTGTACAATCTATTTTATTAGCTGCAGTTTTAAGTTTATACTTAAAATCCAAATTGTTGTAAATGTAGTAGTTGTGAAGTTTTGAGATTACGTAATTTAATAAATATAAAAGAGAGTTATGAAAATCGTGTTATGTCTTATTGTGTTTCAATGACATGCCATGAATGAACTGACTTGAAGTATATTTAAAAGAAATTATCATACCTAATCATGAAACACCTTTTAAGGACTGTAGGTTAAAATAATTAATCATATTCCTTAAAATTCAGAATTTTGTTTTTTAAGTTTTTTAAGTTTTAAGTTTTTTTTAATTTCTTAAGTTTTAATAGTATTGTTCAAATTATAATTCTCGCTTTTTTTTCTAGAACTCGAGTTGTATGCCCAATAATTGATGTAATAAGTGATGAAACTTTTGAGTATGTTCCTGCCTCTGATATGACATGGGGTGGTTTTAATTGGAAGCTTAATTTTCGATGGTATAGAGTTCCTCAACGAGACGTTGATCGTAGAGGTGGAGATAGAACTTTACCACTGAGGTAAAACTAATTATCTATAATTAATATCAAAACTATTTTGTCTCAAAAATAAATTCAGTCTGTTGTAATAATTGTAATGGTATTTATATTCTGTTTATTCAAATGTGTGTTAAAAAACCTATATAGTATAATTGTAATATAAATTTTAATTTTAGAATAACTTTGGTAAATGAATTTTAAATACTGTGATAATGTTTTGAATGTCTATATTTAAATTAACCTGCTAAAAAATAATATTTATGTTAAGAATAACAATTATATATTTAGAACTCCAACAATGGCTGGTGGCCTGTTCTCTATTGATCGAGACTTTTTTGAAGAACTTGGTAAATATGATCAAGGAATGGACATTTGGGGAGGTGAAAATTTGGAACTTTCATTCAGAGTGAGAATCTATTTGATTATCAATTATAAGATTACAAATTCACTATTATATGTGGATATTTTCTATTATAAAACAGTGTGTACCAAACAGTTTTCTGCAGGAAGATATATGGGCCATTATTCCCTGTTGACCTGTATTAAATGTGTAATTTGTATCTCCTATAATAATGCTTTTGAATTAAGTATTGTTAGTTAGAAGTTTGCAAAGTGTGACATTCGATATGTTCTTCATTTATTAAAATAACAAACAAAAGAGATAAATATCTAATATTAAGAAGCATTTTACCATAGTTTATTTGAACTAATAAAGTATGTTTTTTCTTTGGAAGTATCAAGTTTGTACATATATCTTTCTAGCGAAAACTCTGTGCTGATAGAGGAAAAGATCCTTATGTTTTATTACATTATTTTAGAGAATCAGAAACTTTGTTACTGTTATTTCATATTCTTTTTCTCTCTTTTATCCCCTTGGCATTTTTACAGCACATAGCAAGGTTGCCATGCTACCTGGAAAACTGGAAAATGGTCGGGGAATTTGAAAATTGACCAAAAAATTCAGGGAAAAGTCAGAGAATTTAAATATTTTAGTCAAAATCTGGAAAAGTCTGGGAATTTCAAGTGTCGATCCCTCCCCCCACCCTCCCAAGAAAGCGAGTTTTGCATTGACATTGGAAATAATCATGTTTTTGGAGAATTGTGTATCGCATGAGCATCATTCGGGCAGCTGGCATACAGCCAATTTTCGCAGCTCCAATTAGGTTGTCTTTTAGAAAGGCAAAGCAAGTTTCCAGCAACTTAGGTTTCCAGTAACCTCGAGAATTGCATGCGCATATGCACTGTATGTTGAACTAAACAAAATACTTATTCTTGTATAAAACAAAATAGGTTTAATCCTAGTATATGGTATTATGGATATTAGAATTAAAGAATATATATTGTTAAGGAGGAAGATTCATTCCAAAATAGAGGAAAACAGCTGCACATGCACGAAATATCTTTCGCCAAAGCTCGACCAAAGAACGTCTATGTAAAGAAGGAAAGGCTCTCTCTGTAGAACGGTGTTTGAGACACCAGGGTGCCTGAGCCAAGGCTCTACCCCTTGTAGAACAGTTTGATCATTTTGAAAGAGGATATAGAATAACCGAAAGATAAATCAAATAGGTTTTTTTTAAAATAAATTTGTTAAGGTTAGATAGGAATACTTGTTAACATATTAATAACAATGGAGTTGCTTTCTAAATTAGTGCAAGCAGAAAAGTCGAGGAACTGGTGACTGTGACAAGAATGAGGTAGTGCAAACATAGACAAATTGAATCCATTAAGAATTATCAAATACTAAGACATGAACTTGGAATAATTATATACATATACCTATAAAATACACAAAAGTGAGAACACAGACAGAAAATTTGAAGTGTAGCACATAAGAGGAATGAAAATAAATACATAAATAAACACATTTCTCAAATTATTAGAGTTGCATCCATACATTTAGTTGGGCCATAGGCCTATCCATATTTTCCAAACTGTTATAGTCGTAATCACAGATTTTAATACTGGGATTATCAAATATTTTGCTGCCTTTCATGAAATTTTTCGGCTAAGTTATAATAATGAGTGCGCAATAACTCAATGCCTAACTCTTCGTGTATTCTATTATTCCTTACATACCATTCAGCATTTACAATTTGTTATAGAACAGTATTTTGGCAGACTTGCAATCTTTTCCTATTAGTTTTCTTGGTATATGCCCAAACTGGACTTGCATTACACAAAAGTGGACATAAAATGGGCTTGTAAATGAGTAAGTTGTTGTCAATAGAAAATATACTGTTTCGAGCAATTGAGGGGTATAGTTTGGCTTTGTGAACTCGAAACTTCTGGATAATAGATGTAATGTGTGGGGATCATATAAGTCATTTATTGAGGATCACCCCAAGATAAGGGATGTTTGGCCCAAGGAATATCAATGCCATTGAACTTCAGGTTTTTCTTGCAGTTGGCCTTCTTCATAAACATAATAGCTGTTGTTTTTCCACGTTGACGAGGATCTTCCACTTGGAGAGCCAAGTCTGTAGTGTGTAATTTTTTAGTCATTGTATAACTGGACTTGGAAATGCACTTTGTGCGAGGACCACTGTGTCGTCTGCATACATAGCTAATGCTGTGTCGTGTGTGGAAGGTATGTCATTCACATAAATATTAAATGGTGTAGGTCCGAGCAAAGATTCTTGTGGGACGCTAGCCATGATGACATGGCTTGTGGAATTTGTGCCAGAGACATGAACAACAATGTGTCTACCTGTTAGGTAGGAATTAATAATGTTTATGATGTAGCCCGGGAAGCCTAGGATGTGTAATTTGTAAGTGAGGCCATCCAGCCAAACTTGATCAAAAGCCTTGGCAATGTCGAGGAACAAACCACCAGTCACTTTCCAGTTAGCCATTCCCTCTGCAATAGTTTCTACCAGTCGGTAGAGTTGGTTGGTCGTGGAGAGATGTCGTCTGAACTCGAATTGATGCGGAATAATAACATTGTTGGAGTCCAGAAATTCGTTGATTCTTTTGAGTATAATAGCTTCACATATTTTGCTTACTGAAAATAATAGGCTTATTGGTCTATAAGATCCAGGTTCCGACGCAGGTTTACCAGGCTTGAGGATGTATAATCTTAGCTGTTTTCCATTGCCGGGGAAAGTATTTCCAGGGGAGGATAATATTGCAGATTTTAGTTGGAAAGGCTCCATAGATGTAACGTAAACCAGTTTGTCTTCTATGCCTCTAGAAAAAAGAGGGAAAATTAGGCAAAGGATTTGGTGATGGAACCTGTTGGCGAGAATTTCCTCCTCTGGTGATCTACTGGACCTGGCCGAGATTTTCCTCCTCCGTGACGTGTACAGGAAATTGAGGAACACTGGTTTAGATGAATAAGAAAATTAGGTGAAGTTTTGCTTTCACTGGCTGTTGAACTTGCATTATCTGTATTGCAGTTTGATGTCTGCGTTTATATCCGTTAATATGGAGGGGAAAAGAATGGAGTCGCACAGCTTTAAACTCTTGATAAACGTGACCGTAGAACCTGTTCGAACTTCGACATCAGCTCGGAGCTTTGGCGCTTTTTGGTGACAGATATTTTATGCATGCGCAGCTGTTTTCCTTTTTATTCAAAGGCAGCCACTCCTGCTGCTGCAAAGTTTTCCTTCCTAACAATACATATTCTTTCGCTTGAAGTCGGTGTCGACGTTCGAAGGTCACGTTATCAAGAGTTTATAAAATGAATATTGTTTAAATTTTTTTTTTTTAACTTTAAAGGAAAAGAAAATACTTTTTCGCGCAAGTCAATTGAATTAATAGATTAGTTATTTTGAGCACCCTCAAAAAAAAACTATGAAATTCCGTGTTTAAATTATTGCAAAAAATCAAAAAAGAAACTTTTTGTCAAAGAACGGGAGGAACACGTGTTAAGAAGAAACGTTTTGTCAAAGAAACTACGAAACTAGAAGTGTTTTGTCAAAGAACATTTCTTCTTAACACGTGTTCCTCAATTTCCTGCATACATCGTGGAGAGGAAAATTCTGGCTGCCAGGTTCCATCGCCCAATCCCTTGGCGAATTTTTTCTTCGCTTTCTAGCAGCATAATAGCATTACATCTATGGAACCTTTACTTCTTTACAGAGATGTACTTTGGTTAGAATAACCTCCATGTATGGTACACATGGGATTTGGTGACATTATGATGAGCAGTAAACGGGTCATTTTGGTATTGGCAACAATTTTCAAAATAGTGCCAAGGCCATAGCAGGATTTTATCGCAAAATTTTTTAAACCTTTTTTTTCCTTTTTAGCATGTGGTATACAAGGGATTTGGCGACATTATGATCACCAGTAAACGGGTCATTTTGGTGTTGGAGACAATTTTCGAAATTGTATCAAGGCCTTACCATATACTAAGATTTTACCGCAAATTCTTTTAAACCTTTTCTTTTTATTAAATGCCTTATTTGTCATTTTACAGTAAAATAAAAAATAGTAATTGGTCATCTAGGTTAACCATTTTGTATATAACTATATTCGTTAACATATCGTTGATTATTCTAATTCAATTTTTAAGTAATTATCTTTATTCAATTTTTAAGTAATTATTTTTATAGTATTCGTATCATTTAAAGTTGCTTTTTTCCTCTAAATTTATTTATTATTAGTAAATAATACTTTCAAATTTCAGGAAATGTTTTCTGCCATAATCATGAAATTAATTCTAGCAGTATGATGACATACCATCACGGAATTTAATGCATATATTTTTTCCTTATGTATGCTGCTAAATAAATGTAAAATACCTGAATTTATTTCTAAATATCATTAAATAGATTACTTTCTTTCATTTAGCTACAAAATGTCTGAAAAAAAAAATTTTTTTAAATCCATATTGGGCAGTTTCTAAGTGGCAGATTCTATTCTTCAGTGGAGAAAACAACTCCTATTATATTTATAATAGTAATGCTTATTATTATATAATAAGCATTACTATTATGCTTTTTTTTATTTATAAGTATAATAGAAAGTGATATGTTATTGGCAAATTTTTGTGTTTTCAAGTAATACCATAATTAATTAACCTCTTAGCACAGCCAACATGCATTACGCGGATAGACCTGGAAAACCTGGAAGAGTCAGGGATTTTCCTTCTCCTGTTTAAGTGGCAACTCTGACATAGCTTCCAGTTTAGAAAACATTACAATAGAGAAATAAATATGCAAATAATAAAACAAGAAAATCTCAAAGGTTTCATATTTTAAATTATGCCCAAAGGGGCACTTTTTAACATTTTGTGCATTACCTTTATTTATTAAATACCATGTTCTTCACACTTAAACCATAAAATTTCAATTCAACAGCAATATTGCAAAATAATTTTATCTATATAGTGTATTTTTAGAATTTCTGATACACAGTCTCACGTGCTGGAGATAAAAATGTTTTTTCTGTACAATGTTGCCATTACTTTCTTTGAAACCCAGAGCTTGTTAGTCAGCAATTCATTCAAGTTTTGCAAAATATGAAATCGATAATAAAACAAATTCAAAATTTCAAATTTGGGCTTCCAGATGCCCCATATTCGCAGTAGGATTACATCATTCAAAATTGGATTGCTCTAGGTTTATCACAGTGCAAGAAGCATACATACATCTGTGCAGATTCTTCATTATTTAATTTCTTCAAATATAATAAAGGGCAATAATATTTGGTGACAACAGTTTGAAAAGTGATACAGCTTTTTAAAGATTTCAACGCAAAATGCCAAAATGAAAACAATGAGACAAAAGCCCCTTTGTACTAATTATTAGGTTTACTAAGTAACTGTAATTTGCCTAATAATAGTCATAATGTGAAGTTTAATTGTGAAACATATTAATCTTGATTAAACTAAATTCAGGCTATTGGAATAAGTAAACATTATAGCAAAAATAATTTTTTCACCAAAGTCTTGAAAACAAAGTAGTTGGCTGGCCCTATGGTATGAAAAGTGTATGAAGTCATTTTTTTTTTTCCAGTCTGTTTTTTTTTTTTTTTTTTTTATAGTTATCTGTCATAATAATGCTTAGGCATTTGAACTTCACTGATTAAAAGAAAAGTGTAAAAGTTTTTCTGAGCAGTTTACTTCAATGCTAGCTATTGCATCAATAATATTGTTTTGAATTACAAGTGATGCAATCTTTATATTCTAATTGAATAATGAGTTATGTCTTTTTATGTTGAAACTCCAAATGATTTGTAAATACACAATTATGTTTCTTAATAAGTAAAACTATGTAAATTAATCTTTTAAAAACAAATCTGTTGTGTAAAAGCAGCACTTTTCTACATACATGGCATGGCATTTAGTTTTAATTGTTAACAAGTTAGCATTATAAATATCTATTATCATTGTACATGATAATCATTTACATAGAGGTGTTAAAGCAATAAGCAGTGGTCCTCTTCATTCCAGAAAATGGTTCTAAAAATTTGTCTGGCAGATTTCTGGATTCTAAACTTGTAGAGTGATCTAGTGTTTTCACACCATGATCTTGTGTTTCATTTCTGTGTCGAAGCGATGAAGTCATATTTCATCGTCTTTTATCAGCTATGAATAATTTTTTTTTTATCAGCAGTTATCATGGAGAGTTGTTTGTTCTTGGGAATGTTCATCTCAGTTTATCTTTATTTCTTGAGTCAACATTCTGCATCCCCATCTAGCACAGATTTTCAACATACTCAACTTTTCATGCAGGATTTGTTATATTAATTGAGTAGTCATATCGATTGAATAGCCTGTTTCCATATCGGTCTGAGAAACTGTTACTTATTTATAGTCCACTACATATTCTTTAATTTTAGCACACATTTCTTCAGTGGTCAAACCCACATTGCAGCCTGGTCTAGGATCATTTTCCTTGGGGTTGATGCTATCTATATCTAAGTATGGCAGTCTGTATTTTGATGGTGATATGGGAAGATTTATCACCAGAGACTGCAAACATTTGTTCATTAATATTTTTAAATTATTGAAGAAATCTTATTGAACTATGATTTATAATATTTTTTCATAAAAAGAAAAGAAATCCATTTGGGCCATAGAATAGATGTTACGGCCTTCATTATTTTATTAAGACAATTATTCTTTCCCTAAAACATGTAGTGTATTGAGTATTAAAAAATACAGTGATAAAGAGGGGAAAAAAAGGCTTTTAATGAGTTATTTTATTAGCTAAACAAATATCACATTTATTAAATTTAAATGTTTAATGGGAGGACGGAAAGAGAGGTAAGGAAAACATTCTCAGATTTTAATCCATCATCTTATGTAGGAGCATTTGATATTTTTTTATTTTTTATAATATAACATGGGGAAAGTCTTGATTTTTAATTTCAGCACTAAATAAAATATCTCCATACTGAAGAAACAATTATTTATTAGCATAACTGTGTATAATGATTAATTTTTCTCTAGCCTTTTTCCTTGACGTATATCTCAAACGGAAACATTCTACATCACAATGTTGATTTTACAAATTCTGAATAATGTATATTCCTAATACTAACCCAGCACATCATTATTTATTATATTTTGCTTTTATCAGGGTATGACTATCAACGCATGACAGTAGGCCAAAAGATTACATCTTGTGCTGTTTCACTGAAGAATAACTGATTTTTTATTTAGGGAAAAACTGGACTGGTGCCAGAGCTGGGGGCAGAATTAAGGAAAGCACATTTTTTAGAATTAGAAAGATTGAGCAACAGAATTAAGGAATGGCAAAATCTTTAGAATTTAGGGAAGAGACATAAGATAGGGGCAATGAAGTAATTTAGAATTTAGGTGAGTACTTGGCAGCAGAATTTAAAACCCACAGATATTGGACTGGGCAGCAAAATGCCTAGTGCAGGCCCTGTATAAGCATATGTGGGAGTTTATTTATTCGGGACTGAGATAAACTTTAAGGATGTGCGGGAAATATGCATTATAATGAATAACTAAATTAATGTAATTCTGCCTGAACTTCGTTAGCATGCAATAGAAGCAAGACAAAATTTAGTGGAATATATCTTTAGTCACCAGTCTCATGATAAATCGCTAGTAGTGTATAGCAGAGGGTAGCTAAGCTTTATGATGATAGCTGCAAATTTACAGGTTTTCAGATATTGCAAGCAAAAATTAAAATTTTCCATTTAATAGAATTTGGGGAGAAATGGAGAGATATAGAAATAAATGTTGATATAACAGAAGTTTTCATTGTGACGACAATACCACAATCATCTGTCAACTAATTGATGGCGAAAAGTAGAATGGTACTAAATCCAGAAAATGTTGCTACCAGTAGTGAAAGAAGTGACAGAGAGGTTACTGAGAACAAAAAATTGGGTGTGGTGGGAATTCTCAACATTGCAGTTATAGGATTTAAATAATAGAACTTTGTAATGAACAAGTTATGTCTATCTAAAGAATTAAAGAGAAAGTATTAGCACAAGAAATGAAGCTACTTAAACAACTTGCATTGAAAGAAACATTTAACAAAGCAAGCAAACAAATAATTGAACTTTTTCTATAAATTTTGATTTTTTTACTTTATTATTTTATATTTTTACATTCATGATTTCAACATGTCATCTTACTAGATTTAAACTGATGATTTAATATCCAGAAAAAATTCCTAATCTGAAATTGCCAAAGGCATGATGAGTCCACATTTCAGACTTTGTACTGTAGTAGAGTGAATCAATCTGATTGTCAGTAACTATAAACTTTTTAAAGTATATCAGTTTCTTATGTACTCATAAATGAACTTAAAGAGAAGAAAATACATTACTTTTTTTTTGTGAAAAATTGTGTAAAAGGGTTATTTGTTTTATAAATTTGCATTTTTGTTTAATATTTATTTGTTGATTGTGATATGAATATTTTATTTTGACTTACAGATATGGATGTGTGGGGGAACTTTAGAAATAGTAACTTGCTCCCATGTTGGGCATGTGTTTCGTAAATCTACTCCGTATACATTTCCCGGTGGAACAAGCAAAATTGTTAACCATAACAATGCAAGACTTGCAGAAGTTTGGTTAGATGAATGGAAAGACTTCTATTATGCTATAAATCCTGGTATAAATTTCTGGCTTTTTATAATTTTAAAACAATAATCATAATTTTCAAAATATGAAATCAACTAGAAACAGGCATAGAAATTTAATTAAAATCCATAAAATGAATCTTTTTTGTGCATAGGTATAAATTATTCATATGTCAAAGGTATTTTAATGTATTTATGCCATTGTATCAAGTTTTATGAATGTAAACTAAATCTGCATGTATGTGTATGTTCGCGTCAGAGAAATGTGGTAAGGATATTTTGTCAAGCTGTAACTCATTAACACTTTAGTAATAAGGTACACTTCTGGCATTGTAATTAAAGCTAATGCTGTCAATAGAGAGCAGTTTGTGTCTTGTGTTAAGTAATCACATTGCAATATGTAATCAGTAAAATGCTTTGATGTCTCTAGAAAAAGAAAACAGGGATCAGTGGCTCAAAAATGTTTGTCCTCATGGCCTGATGATTATTTCACCTGTTCTCTTTTTATTATTAAACAGCAATTTCTGCATAGTTATTAATTTGTCTTATTAAGAATTAGGTATTAGCATGTGTAGTATGGTTAAATAAGAAAATTCCTTTTTTATTAAAAAAAACATTGTGAGTTTAGAACTTTTAATGCTGAAATTCATGAACATTTTATTCATATTTAATGTATTTCAATATACATATGTCCACTCCGAACTCACACTGAACTAAACAACTGAGAAACAGATGCTTTCTCTGGTCTTATAGTCAGCCCCCCCCCCCCCGGTGGCCAAGAAATCTCTAGTAAGACAAAAATAGACTTCTCAGTATATTTTTCTATAATTATATGTGACTGTGCTACTATTATATGTAAATGAGCTTTTACATTGTTTGAATTTAAACGCACACACACACAAAGATAAATTCAATTATTTGCTATTTCAGTAATATAGGAAGTAAATTATTTTTTAGGTCCTTGAATATATAATGTTATGAATTTTGTGTTTATGTAAATAATTTTAGTGAAATTTTACATGAAATTGCAGTATTTTTTGTATAATATAACATAAAATGCTTGAAAGAAATGAAGCCATGTTGGGAAAATAAGAGGGCAAGTCTATTTAAACATTGTGGTAAATGGCTATCTCGCTGAAATGGTGAGATAGTGTCAAGCAGGTGATGGTTTTGGTGATTAATTTTTGTTTTGCTAGAGATTTCTTGGCTGCCGGGGGGGTGACTATAAGACCAGAGAAAGCATCTGTTTCTCAGTTGTTTAGTTCATTGTGAGTTCGGAGTATTTCGAGGGACCTTTGTGGAGCTTCGCCTTTTTAGATTCGCTTTGCATTGCACTGTGTTTAATGTTCTTAGTAGTTCTGTTGATGTTAGTTGTTCTCTGTGATACCGAGAAAAGCTGTATGAGTATTTTTGTGGAAAGTTATAAGGCTGTAATGTATTTCTTTTGGTAAACTAAATTTTATTAAGCTGTCATCAGTTCTGTATGTTTTCAATCAATTCCAAACCTGCATGCAAACAGAGCAATATATAGAATGCGGTAACTTAGTTATTTTTTAAAACTATATTTTAGGTGCTAGACAAGCTGATATTGGGGATTTGTCTGAGAGAAAACAACTTCGGAAAAATTTAAAGTGCAAAAGTTTTCGTTGGTATTTGGAAAATATCTACCCAGAATCACAGATGCCACTTGATTATTATTATCTTGGTGAAGTAAGTTAATATATTTTTGATTTTAATATGATTTATGTGATATTTATTTGTGTTTGATTACCTATGTATGTGTTATGGGATAATAGCTTTTAATTATTTTTAGAAAACAAATATTGAATGAATATGTTCCTGTGATTTCTAAATACTGAACAAACCATTTAAATCTGAATTAATTTTTACCTTTAGAGCTGATTTTTTTCGAGATATCTGTAGGAAAAATCCTCTAATCCATTTCTTCATTGGTGCATAATATTCTTATTTATTTTTTCAGCCTTTTGTTGTGTTCTTTTTACCTTTAAAATTATCACAGTTATCATATAATGTCTGTAAATGTGATTTTATTTCAATGAATATAATATTTCATATTAATATTTATTCATTCTTCAAAAATTCTGAAACTTATATACCAATCATATTACTCTCCATTAATGTAACTTTTTCATCCACCATAAGTAAAATATTTAACAGTAATGTTTATTCATTATTTAAAATTGCAATCATGTATAACACTTTAAATATAGGTATGTGATTTCACTTTTCTGTTGGCCTATTCCTTATTGTTCTAGCAGATTCATTTTTATTGCATAATTTTGTTACATATGTCTGTCGCAAAGATTTATTTTTGCAAAATCAGCTGTATTGGTGTTAAAAATTATCATTTACGTGCCTAAAAATTACTAATTTTTTGAAAAATTGTTAAATAAGAACGGATATTCCATATTTGGGATAGTACATAATATCATAATGCATAAATGCAAACTAAAAAATTGAATATAAATACCTACATCTCAAAATTATATCAGGAAATAAATAAAGGTGACATAATGCACGAAAAGGAAATTTTAGGAAAAGTGAATATCTTGGAAGAAAAAGTGGATTTTTGCATTAATGTAGAGAATACCGTCTTTAACTTGTAGCATATTGTAATGCAATTTCATGTTCTTAATAAAGTGTTTAATTAGAACTTGGGGAAGAAATACCTGTCCTCCATTAAGATATGAATCCTCTAAAATGAAAAATTCTCTTGCAACAGCTCTTACTGTAATGTCCCATATGTCTTGCATGAAGTTAGAGTCAAAATTATCTGGCCAGTTTGCCTACTTTGGCTTCTAGAAATTTGTCAGCCATTTTGTTGAATGCTAATAGGTTTTATCATTAAAAAAAGGGACGACTTAAATTTGCTTATTGCAGAATGATGGAAAAATTGCTATTGTGAACCATATTTGTAAAACACACAAACATGAAAGGAAAATATACATAGGATAACAGCAATGGTTAGCAGATCATATAATAGTATCTTTTAGTTATTTGTATCTGTAAACACTTTGTAATCTAATTGAATATAATTCAGATTGTACACATATTGTTAAATCTCTTCATAATAATAAACTGCTCACTTGTAAAAAGTTAATCGAGTGGCTAGCCATTAATCTTCTGTTTCACATTGACTTCTATTGAAATACTATAGTAATGTAAGAAACAGCAGGCACTCCCCGATGTGAGGAAGAAACAGGTAGAGAAAGAGGATGTGCATGTGTGTTTGAGAGACAAAATTTTGAATATGCATTTAATTTACGTACTGAAGAGAACTTATTCTGTAGCTGAAAATGCTTGAAAATACAGATAAATATTTATTAGTATAATTAAGACACAATAACACGCCGAACAAATACTAATTCGGAAGTCAAACAACAAGTATCAGCGTTATGTTTTCAAATTTTTGCAGGACTAGTTTCGATGGTTTTACCGAACCACCATCGTCAGCTGCAAAAGCGCAAATGAACGAGATGGGATATAATGATCAGATAAGATAAGAAAGCCTGGACGAAAATAAGCTAGTAGCGCCATCTGTTGGTGAAACCACAACTAAAACATAGTTTCTTTAAAGGCCGAAGGCAAAGATGGAATGGAATTAGGATTGTTAACTAGAACAGAAAGATTTTTTTGAATGTGAAATGCCTCTAGAAATCCAATTCTCCAATGGAAAATGTTTTTTTAATAATTTTGGCAGCAGAAAAACTGAAAGTATGATTTTCGGGCCAACAATGTTGGGCAAAAGAAGACTTCTGTGTTTCCTTTTTTCTAACATATGCCTTGTGTTCCTTGACCTGAAATTTTAAGGCTCTCTTAGTTTGGCCAATGTAAATTAAACCACACTGGCAAGGAATCCTAGAAATACCCCAGGAATTCATATCTGGAATGGGGTCCTTGAGTGTGGAACTAGGAATTTTATTGATTACCTTCAAACAGGGTAAAAGTATCGTCTACATAGCGGAACCATACCGCGAAGTTTAAAATTTCAAACAATTTTGATTCATAATAATGCATGTAGATATCAGCCAGGATGTGACTGAGGGGGCTTCCCATGGCTAATCCCTCAGTTTGCTTGTAATATTTATTTTGGAAAACAAAATGTGTTTGTTTCAAACAGAGTTGAGTGAGAGAAATTCTCTCACGGTCACTTCTTCACTTCTCTTCATTCTGGTCATACATAACACTTCCAACTTCAGTACTACGATTTACCGTAAAATTTCATCGGTTTGCCTTCCACCACACTTTAAATCATGTCATCCGACTAAACAAAAGTTAGCTTCATTTTATTCCTATGTTTTCTGTGCTCTTCAAGTTTGCTCCTCCAAACTATCCCTTGATGAGGAACTAAATTATTTAAAAGCAATAGCTGTTGACAGGGGCTTTTCCCCCAACATTATTAATCAAGCAGTTAAAAAATTCTCATCTCAACACACTAAAAGTTACTTTTGTTTTAGGAGATTATAAAAATTCTGTTGTCATTTCCTTCTTTCCATCAATTAGCTATAAAGTTGCTCATATTTTGCAGAAATTTAATTTTCGGGTCATTTATTCTCCCCATCAATAAAATTCCTAGTTCCATATTAAAGGACCCAATTCCAGATATGAATTCCTGGGGTATTTCTAGGATTCCTTGCCAGTGTGGTTTAATTTACATTGGCCAAACTTAAGAGAGACTTAAAATTTCACGTCAAGGAACATAAGGCATATGTTAGAAAAAAGGAAACACAGAAGTCTTCTGTTGCCCAACATTGTTGGCCCGAAAATCACACTTTCAGTTTTTCTGCTGCAAAATTATTAAAAAAACATCTAGAGGCATTTCACATTCAAAAAAATCTTTCTGTTCTAGTTAACGATCCTAATTCCATTCCATCTTTGCCTTCAGCCTTTAAAGAAATTATGTTTTAGTTGTGGTTTCACCAACAGATAGCGCTACTAGCTTATTTTCGTCCAGGCTTTCTTATCTTATCTGATCATTATATTCTATCTCGTTCATTTGTGCTTTTGCAGCTGACGATGGTGGTTCAGTAAAACCATCGAAACTAGCCCTGTGAAAATTTGAAGATATTTCTCTGATATTTGTTGTTTGACTTCTGAATTAGTTATTACAGTCAAAAGTCGTTAATCCGGACTCGTCGGGACTTCGGCGATTCCGGATTATAGATCATCAATTTTAATCTGGTAAGATGGCATGCAGAAATTATAAAATTAAAAATATGAAACCATAATTTATGAAATAAAGATCAGTTATGATCTAAAGAGTACCAAAATTTACAAAAAAAAAGCTTAATATTTATTTGTTTACTTTATTAAACATTTCTTTCAATGTAAGTTGTTTAAGTTGCTTCGTTTTATGTGATAATACTTTCTCTTTAATTCTATAAACAGACATAATTTCTTCTTCAGTTACAAAGTTCCGCTGTTCAAGTCCTATAAATTGCTGTGTCGAGAATACCGACTAATTTGTCAATCGAAATTTTTTCGTTTTCAATAACCTCTGTGTCACTTTCTTCACTATCGGAAGCGAATTATAATGAGGAGGAATTCGATTTAAATCATATCAAAGACGGAGTACATCGAGATGAAATACTACATTTAGTAAGGAATTATAAGCCAAATAAATTAAAAACATCTGTCCTGAAGATAAGGATAGTGCCGACAGATCAACTTCCAATTGATAGCGCGTCCGCCGCGGCGTTAAAGATAAGCAAAGTTTAGATAAATAAACGTTAAAGTTTAGATAAACAAAGGATATGCCTTTATCCATTTTTTGCAGCAATTCCACTTTTTGATTAATGAACTTCGAAATATACTTTCGCTTTGTAAATCCTTTACATATTAGGAAATATATATCAGAAATTCTATTTGACATAATCGAAAGTTCAAGCTTACTTTTATAAAATTGCTCTAACAGTTTGCAAAAAATAATAAGCCGGATCCAATTCGAAGATTAAGGAATAACGCAATCTGCAACATTAACTGAAATAGATAATTTTAGCTTAGCTTAAAACGTCCGTTATACATTAAACGCGCACTCGTAAACGTGTATTTTGCGCACGCACACAAATATATTCGCAGCCGTAAAGGTCTTACGCGCATGCGTCAATATGACGCATGCGCAGAAAGTTTGTAGCTTTGAGGTCCGGATTATAGATCATTCTGGATTATGGGTGTCCGAATTAACGACTTTTGACTGTAGTATTATTGTAGTATATTGTTAATTATATTAATTGTTTGTTTGACCTCATTTGTTTCATTTCTTTCTTTAATTGACCATTTGATTTACCATGGACAGTTCCCTAATATATCAGTAGTTGTATATATTGTTATATTGTCTACTACTGAGCTAGGTTTGTAATTATCATCAAATTTTTGTAATGTACTAAGTGATACTAATTAGGTTTACATTTTAAAATGCATAAAACTTACTCATGAAATATTTAAAAAATCATAAAAGCTAATGAAAATAGCTCTGTGAAACATGCGAGTACTAAAATTTCTTTGATGCCAAATATTATTAGTTTTACATTAGCTTTGAAAAACATAATTATCAAATTATCCTGAAAGTAAAATTTTTATGCCTCTTTAAAATAGCCTTGATAAACTAAAGCTGTCTTTTATGCTTAGAATGTAAAAGGAAAAATTATTTTATCTTATAACATACAGATTAAAAGAAAGCATATTTATACTTTTACCTCAAGTTAATGTATTTATATGAAATAATTAGTTATATTTCTTGTAAAATATCTATAGGCATGTGGTGATCTAATATGGAAGCTCATTTTTTTAGTCTTGTAGCTCTGTTAAAAAATGCTATTTGTTTTACATTTAGGCCATTAAAGTACTAGCATTTAAAAAAAATATTGAAAAGTTTTCATAATTGAAATACAAATGTGATTTTAACTTGGTTAAAACTTTCGTGTATGAAAAACTAATGAATTGTTATATATGATAAAGCAGTAGAAAAAAAAAAAAAAATATTTTTGCATTTCAGAAAGCAACATTTTAAAAACAATAAACTATAACTTTCTCCAGAAACTGAAGATAAAAACATGTGTAATTGAACTTTCATAAGTATATCTGATGAAGGCTAGGGAAAACAAATAATTAAAAGACTTACCTGAGCAAATTATATGTATATGTGTGTGTGTATGTATACTTATGTATTTAATGTTTCAAGTAATGTGAAACAAAATTTCTTTAATGTTTCATAAATCCTTGGCTTTTATATGGAAGAAAAAGGTTGGTAAATTGTTTTACATAAATGTTTGCCACAGTTTTTTTATTACTTTTTTTTATCTTTAATGGAAACTAATTACATCATATAATTACCCCAGATTAAGAATGCTGAAACTGCAAATTGTCTTGATACCTTTGGGCGGAAAAGTGGTGAAAATGTAGCTATGGGTTCTTGTCATGGATTAGGTGGAAACCAGGTAATTTTATTTTACTTTCTTGTCAAAAAAGTGAATTGTAATAATTCGTGTCCATACTTTCATTCTCTTGTAACAGGACTTTTTAGCAATATTGAGAAATTACTTTTAAAATTTCATTTTAAGTAACTGCCTTTCTATAGTTAATGAAGATATTTTTTGCATGGATTATTGAAAAATAGTAGTTAGAAATACTTCATGGAAGGAAATATGGCAATGAAATTTAGTAAACTCCTTTATCAAATGATGTTGTTGCCATTAATTTCTAAAATTAGCAATGACTGTTTCAATTAACTTATTACTATACTTAAAGAAAAACAAAAATTTACAATTCAGTTGGATGAAACAACTGATATTTTAAAAATAGTTCAGTTGTTTATATTGTTACGAATTTGGTATTTAAAAAGCTAATGTTAGTTCAATTATAAATTAAATGGTTTTATTTCTCGCGCAGTGCAGCGCGTGACGAATATTAAAAGAAAGCTAAGCCGGAAAAATTAAAAATACAAGAGCGCGTGCGTTAAATAAATAAATATCTCTTTTTGATTTCGAGAAAGTACTGGAAAATTCTAGCGCGTGATTTTAAAATCTTATAAAAGGAGGAAAACATCTCAGTTTGTAGTAGTTGCTTTGCTGTTGTTTAGAAAACTGCTGCTGTTGATTATAGCGAATTCGCGGATTAGCGTTCTTTAGCTGTTTCGAATTACGTTCTATCGTACATTTAAGTAGTTAAAAGATAACTACTGTGAGATATTGTGATACTGCATGATAATTTGAGAAAATTTAAGCATTTCTGTTGTTATAATAATAAATTTTTGTTCATTTTTCATCGGACTTGTGCATTCATTTCATAACGAACCCGTATGCACGCAACAATATATATATATATATGTGTGTGTGTGTCAAATACATTTATAAAGAAAACATCGATGAAGAATTGTTGGTTTGCTGTCCTTTGGAAGAACATGCAAGGGTGGAAGACATATATAGTAAACTTGACGAACTGTACTATATAAGGTGAGACTTTAAAACTGAAGTTTTAGAATGGGAAAATTGCATTGGAATATGCACAGATGGTGCAAAAGCAATGATGCGTGAAAATATGGTTTTTAAATAATGTTTTAAAGATGCTAGTAATGATTGTGTAATTACATTACATTACTGGCTGATACATTGGGAGGCCCTTTCAGCAAAATGCATAAATAAATAAACAATGGAATTGAATGATATTGATGCTTCAGGATACTATCAAAATTATAAAAATTTATTGAAAGCCTTGCCTTAAATATCCACTTTATTTTCAGTTCTATAAAACTATGGATTCCTAATACAAAAATTTATTAATACATGCAGAAGTAAGAAGTATGTCAAGAGGGCAAAGTTTAAAATTATTGTTAGTAAAAGATGAAATTATTATATTTTTAACCGAACAAAAGTATAATCTTGTCGGTCTTTTTCAAAGGCTATCAAGTGTACTATTCCTCAGCAATTTCTGAGAAACTAAATGATCTCAAATAGTCTATTCAAGGAAAAAATAGCAAAATGCAGTTATTTCGAATGATAAAGTTAAGAGTTTTGCTTAAAAGATCAACATTTGAAAGAATAGAGTGGAAAATGATTCATTTGAAATGTTTTTGACTATTGACTGTTCTGTAATTAAAAAAATAAAATAAAATAAAATAAATAAAAAATAAATAAAACAACAACTGAATTGTAAAACTTCAATTACAAAAATGATTAAAGATTGCTTAAAAGCCTTAATAACACAGTTATGTAAATACATTATATCGGATTTTGATTTCAGAAGGTATCATGGATTCAGAAATCATTTTTGATGTTAATGAGATTAATCAGTTGTCCAAGTGAAATTTGTTGAACTATCATGTGATTCAAACTTAAAACTTGAGTTTCTACAAAATTCTTGACTGAATACTAGTTCAGAGCTAAAACTGAATTTCCAACAACTTCTGAAATGACAATAAATGTTCTGCTATTTTGCACCACACACTTATGTGAAACAACTTTTTCAGCTTAAAGCTTTTTAAATCCAAATATTATTCAATACTGAAAAACACTGAAGATGTTCTACATCTAGCAGCATCAAATATTGCACTGAGATTTAATTTTTAATTCAGAAGAGAAAAGCACATCCATCAAAATTTTCTTTTATTAATTTTTATATGCATGGAACAAATCCTAAAATTACTGCTTTTCTTACATACATTGTTTACCAAAGAAATACATTACTTATGAGAAAATATTTATCTTTATACCTTTATTGTATATTCAATGTATGGGGTCATGAATGAAAAGAGTTTTAAGAAGTGCTGGGCTGGATTGTGTATCTGAATAAAATGTATCAAATCAGTACTGATTTCTCCAATTTTGAATAGCATCATGATGATTTGCATTTAGTGAACTACCTGGTCATTTTTATTTGTTCATCAGAACTTATTTCCTCCTTTAGTAGTAAGTACCTTTCTTTGAAACACTGGTACTCAATTTCTGTTATGCCTATAGCAATACCCCTGAATCTTCTTGCCAGAATTCCTCCTTGACCAGTAACAGCTTTCTTTGAAGCATTAATACTGTACTTTAATTTGCCCTAAACAACCTATGGCCACACTACTGAATCTTCATGCATATTCATATCTACTGACTACTTTGAAACACAGAAGCCAACTTCTGTGTTTCATTAACTGTCAGAGGGGGAAAACTAAGTTTGGATACTTTTAAAAGAAAGCTTTTATTTTCACGTGACAAATGCATTTTCTTAAAAAATTATAAAATTATGTAAATATAAGCTGTCAAAAATATTTATTAAATTTCACATGGATGTTTCTGTATGTTAAAAAAATTATCAAAGTGTAAATAAAACTGTATAAATCAACATATTTTTGACTTACTAAACATTCTCTAAGAAACTGAGGCATGGTTTTATATTTATTAATTAATTAATTTTTATTAGTGTGTGTATACATACATATATAATGAATGATTTTAATAATTTAGTCCTAAATACATTAGGTATAAAATTTATTAGTGTGGAATATATTCAGGATATATTATATTTTCTTAAAAAGGAGTTATTTAGTTTCGACTATTGTTAAGTCACTTTTCATAGCAAGCCTCATTTTTTTTTTTTTTTTTTTTTTTTTTTTTTTTTTTTTTTTAACATCAAATTTATACAATCTAACTGCCTGTGATGTCAGCTACCTTTACATTGCATCTAATAAATTGCTATTAGCATTGGAATACTATCCAGTAAATCTAGAGGTGAAAATTCACTGAATGCAGATGAGGGCTGTCAGGGGTTATTGTTTCCATAGGAATGAAATAATTCGAATTACATTATCAAGTCACTCAGTATACAATAACTTGTGTTTTGTATTGCATCCTGTAGCTTCTTCAATTCACATTAACTGGCAAAATTACTTATTAATTACCAGGGCATGAACTTCAAGTTTAGAAAGCCTGATAGTTTATGAATGATTTATGCATAATCTTCCTTGTTGAATTTCTATCTTAAACGTTTTCAGTTTTGGTAGTATTACATACTTTAACTTCAAAGATTGATTCTAACGTGATATTATTATAGTGATTATTGATTCTAATGTGATATTAACATCTCTGATGTACATACAGATATGTATGTACATCAGAGATGTTAATGTTTTTCATCAGAGATGTTAATGTTAATGTTTTCAGAGATGTTAATTTTAATTGAATACAGTGTCAGTTTTTAGTATGGGAAAAAGCTAAGTGTAGAAAATGTTGTAAAATAATCAGTTTTATTTAAAAGCAGAGCAAAATAACCCAAGTTTTTAAACTTAGTTGAGTTTAAGTTTTGAAATAAAAAGTTAAAAAAAAAGTTGAAAAGTAGGTGAGGAATTGCCTTTGAATTCAGATAAGATCTTACTAATCTTTGTACTATATCAAATAAATAATAAACAATGGAATTACAGCTTTCAAGTTTACAAAATTTGTCTAGAAACAGTTCTTACAAACGCTCATTTGATGTATTGTTAGGTATTTGCGTACACGAAACGCCAGCAAATCATGTCAGATGACAATTGTTTAGATGCTGCATCAAGTGATGGACCTGTAAAGCTTTTACGATGTCATGGTATGGGTGGTAACCAGATGTGGTCTTATGATAAACAGGTAAGAATGAATCAGTATTTTTCAAATTTTAATGGAGCTAAATAACTGTTTATTATTCATGCTAATTAAAAGAAAAAAGGGACTAATTTAGACAATTTTCTGTGCTTTTTAAACATTTTTACAGTGTTTTTTAACACTGTAAAAATGTTACTATTTTTACTATACAAATTTTTCTGTTCTTGCAAAAGAAAAATTCTTTCCTTCATTTATGATTAATATTTTTTCAAACTTTGTGGGCAAGTACGCTAGTGAGGATACGCACATAAATATCTTAAATAATATATATATTTTTTTTTAAATTAAAGAAGTGCAAAATCTTGTATGTTGCATTACTTTTTAATGGAATGATACCATAGCAACTTCACTGCCCTATTCTTTTAAATTACTACACAGAACAGCTCACTTAACACATTATTTGTTCTGCATCTTGAAGTTTTATGAATTAAGTCTTGAACTAATAAATTTATTGTATAGCTTGAAACTGTTTCAGGCATTGAAGTAGAAATTGAGCACAAAGATCAGATTGATAATTAAAAAAAAAATAATTTTCTAAAATTTTAAAGGGCTTTTTTTTAGATATTAGCTTACTATACTATGAGTTTTTTTTTTTTTTAAGTGGTATGAAATCTGCTTTCAAAAATTGTTATGGGGAGAGTGCCATTAGCAAATTCTGTAACTCATGAAGATACTGAAATGCACAAATAGTGAAAAAGAAGAAACTGTAATTTTTTTCTCATTTTGAAATTAAAGCATTTTTTTTAATCTGATGCATGAAATTACATCTTAGTTTGCTATGGAAACAGTGGCAAATTAATAAATTGAAGTTCTGTTTATTTGCAAGTTGGTTCTCTTGAAATCTTAAATAATGCTTCAAATCTTGATTAGTGATAGAGATTGCAAATACTAATGAAATAATACCTACGTAGGGAAAAAAGGTACTTTTCCATTTCGCCGCCGCAAATCTCGCCAAGCAGACTTTGTTGGCGACAGCATACAGTATTCGTTGGTTAACATGTTACATGATTCTGTGTTAACATGAACTAACATGTTAACAAATGTTAGTTCTAAGAACTTTTTATTTTGAAGGCATAAGCATTTTAGTATGGCTTAAAATTTTGTAAAAAGACATTAATTTAAAATTTACTATGCTTTCATGGTTCAACATCCTGATTCGACGGTTCGTATCACGTGACCAAAAGAGATCTCATCTCACGTAAACTACGCTACAAAAAACTAATTCTTTCGGTAATTATCTACTTTAACTTCAAGTTAAATCTTAATATAGAATACAAGTTTAAATGCAAGAATTATTTAAATTCGTACGAAAAGCTTACTCAGAAATTATATAAAACTGCATTGCTTTACTATTGACTAGTATAATTATATAAAACTGCATTGCTTTACTATGCTTGTGCATTCTCATTAGAATTGATGAATTTAAACTTTGATTTTGCCTTTTCTATATTTTCATCTTCGGGTGTGTGGTGTGGAAACACCGCAGCGCGCAATGAATTGGAAGTTGATCTGTCAGCACTATCCTTATCTTCAGAGCAGATGTTTTTATTTTATTTGGCTTATAATTCCTTACTAAATGTAGTATTTCATCTTGATGTACTCCGTCTTTGATATGATTTAAATCGAATTCCTCCTCATTATAATTCGCTTCCGATAGTGAAGAAAGTGACACAGAGGTTATTGAAAACAAAAAAATTTCGATTGACAAATTAGTCGGTATTCTCGACACAGCAATTTATAGGACTTGAACAGCGGAACTTTGTAACTGAAGAAGAAATTATGTCTGTTTATAGAATTAAAGAGAAAGTATTATCACATAAAACGAAGCAACTTAAACAACTTACATTGAAAGAAATGTTTAATAAAGTAAACAAATAAATATTAAGCTTTTTTTTTTTGTAAATTTTGATACCCTTTAGATCAAAATTGTTCTTTATTTCATAAATTACGGTTTCATATTTTTAATTTTATAATTTCTGCATGCCATCTTATCAGATTTAAACTGATGATCTATATTAAAATTAACAAACTTGCCTTGAAAATTTTAAAACCAAATGGCTGGAAATTCAAGTATTAAGTGATGGAAGTAAAAAGGGTTATTGTAAAAGTGCACTTTTCTATTTAAAAAAGTTTAGCCTTAATTGGCGAGAAAATTGGAATTCTTCTTGGAGATAATACATAGAGTAGGCAGTTACTAAAATAGTGCTAAAAGCTGTTTTTAGTTAGAATATAAATTCAAAATAAAGTAAATTAAAAAGCCTAAAAACACTAAAGCTGCAAAGTAATAAACCAATAATTCATAATAATTTATAGTAAGAAATCTTTATTCAATATTTAAAATTTACTTTTGGTTTTGGATTTTTAATGCGATTAAAAACTTTTCTTAGCCAATTTGTAAACAAGAGTTGAAATTACTATTTAAAATGCTATTTACATTCTAAAAAATTTTTACTTTCATGGTTTTAAATTTAATTTGTGTTCCTTGGAGATGGTATATGGAAAGATTCTTAGTATAAATTATTATGAAATATTTATTTCAGTATTTTGTGATATTTTCTATGGCAGAAAAGACGTATTGTGCAAATGAATTTGTTTACTTACTATTCATATTATATTCTAACATAATTAAAAAAAAAAAAAAATATTTGATTTGTTTTTTAAAAAGAAATTTTAATTAATGTTATATGTTAAATATATTAGCAATTTCGATATATGGATGACAATATTTAAGAATATGAAAATATCTTGTGCTTTCCATAATTTTGGATCTGTAGGTGAACGTGTTATTATTAACATGACACACTAAATTGTTTATTAAAGACTATTGTGCATATTCTAGTACTTCCTAATCAGAATATTCCTTATTCATCGAGATTTGTCACCAGAATTGGAAAACTTAATATAATATCTCAGTATGTGATGTGAAAATATAGTTAAGTGTTTATGGGATGTCTGCTTTAAAAAGGAAGCATTCAACTCTTTCTCTGTGTGTTTGTGTATATAACACATACACACGCAATTTCTAATTTAATTATTTATGATTAAGAAAATATGAGTTTATTTGTTTTATTGCCAAACAGTAATTAATGATTACTGTATTTGACAGCATATAAGACGCACTTTTTTCCCTAAATTTGGTCTCAAAAAAGTTACCTACGTCTTATACGTGAAGGACACAGGGTAACTTTCAATACTGAATGCTATTTTTAGCCCGGATAAAGGTCTAGACACATATAACTTTTTCTACATCTGCCATAATTATTTTACACATACGTGAAATATCTGTTGCCGAAAAGCGTCAAAGCTTATGTCGAAGTTCGAACAGGTTTGACGGTCACATTACATCTATGGAGCCTTTCCTTCTTTACATAGACTTTCTTTGACTCAGCCGACACACGTGTTGGTATCGGTGCTACTCTGTATAAACGTATCGATATCAGTGCTTAAAACTGTTTGTTTAAAAAAAATACCCTGGAAAATATGACTACAGGAAACAAGAGATTAAGCTATACAATTCAGTATAAACTAGGAGTGTTAAACTACACTACAGTGCATGGAAACAGAGCACCAGTAAGGCATTTTGGTCCACCACCTACCGAAAAAATGATATGTACTTGGTGACTGCAGGAAGATCAACTGAAGACTGCTAAAAAACAAAAACATAACCTTCGATGACCAGCTCCATCTTGGCCTGAACTTTGAAAATGGCATAAAAATGTGGGTGATAGATAAGAGGAAATCTGGGATGAATGTTTCAACCAAAACGATAATCAATGACGCCAAAGGATTTGCAGAAAAACATGGGAATCGGAACTTTTCAGGGTGTGAGGACTGGTGCACACAAAAACAACTATTGCACAGAAAATGCCAGCAGATTATGAAGAAAAAATACTAGCATTTCATAGGTTTGTCATAAATGCACGCAAGAAAACTTCTTTTGAGCTCGGGCAAATAGGAAGTAGGGATGAAATTCCACTCACATTTGATGTACCATCCAAGACTGTGAGTATTAAAGGGTCTAAATCAATAACCATAAAAACCACAGGTCATGAAAAAACGCGATATACAGTAGTTCTAACATGTTGTGCTGATGGCACAAACTACCGCCGTTTTTCATATTCAAAAGAAAAACTCATCCGAAAGGAAAACTTCCAACGGGTGTAATTGTTCACGTTCATCCGAAAGGCTGGATGGACGAAGCTGGAACGAAACTGTGGTTACAGAACGTATGGGCGAGGCGACCTGGTGAACTCAAAACCCTCTCTTTTGGTGTTGGATCAGTTTAGCACCCATAGAACTGAAACCATAAAGAATAAAGCGAGAGAATTAAAAACCCAGATAGCTGTCATTCTTGGTGGACTGACTAGGCAATTGCAGCCTTTAGATGTATCAGTGAATAAGCCATTTAAGGAAAAAGTGCGAGAACGGTGGATAGGAGAGCCACATCACGCCCTCATACCCTCAAGTAGAATGAAGCGGCCCTCTATTTTACAAGTGTGCGAGTGAGTAAAAAGATCTTGGGAGGACGTAAAGGCTGAAGTAATTGTTAAGTCATTTAAGATGTGCAGAATCAGTAATGCTCTTGACAGAACAGAAGACGACGCATTATTCGAAGAAGGTGATGGTAGCAGTGACGGAAACAGTAGTGATGACGATATTCTCGTTTTCGATGATGATGATAGTGAAAAGGATTTTTATGGTTTTGAAAGTTATTAAAGTCTAATTTCATGATAGGTAACGTTTTCCTTGAATCTGTGTTTTTGTTGTTTCTGCTTTTTATTTTGTATTATGTTTGTTCGCTTGTCGTTCATTCATTTATTCATTATTGAAATTTACATATCATGTTCAGAATAGCTTGCTGTTTGTTAATTTTCCTTAATAAAAATATGTGTGGTAATTGCATTCAATGATTGTGTATTTGGCTTTTATGAAACGTGAGAACTAAAAGAAACCACATTTTAAGTTATTGTGGTACCGCGCTGTCGCACAGACTATTAAAACTTTTTTCCCTTGTGTGTAGCCTTCTAAATAAGGATGCGTCTTATATGCCGTCAAATATGGTAAATATTTAAAGTTATTTTGAATAAAGTATCATATGAGAAAATGTTTTTATACATTCTTTTTTTTTTTTTTTTTTTTTTTTTTTTTTATGTTTAAAGGATGAAACCATCATACATTCTCAGACTGGTCGTTGCCTGGACAAACCAGATGATTCTGATATAACACTTCCAACTTTAAAAAAATGTGATGGTCGACAATCCCAAAAATGGATCATGAGTAGTAATTTTAAATGGCAGGCTTCATAGCCATTGAATGAAATATGTTTTGCAGTATTGATTTGGAATATATCTGTGATGAGCAAAGTACAAGACTCCTTTTATGAAGTAAATTTACTAGAAAACAAACCTATTTCACGAACACAGCTCATTCCAGCAAGTGATGTGTAAATTATATGCCAAATGAAAACTTCTTAAGTCAATGTTGTGTTAGTAAATTTAAACCAGATGAATTTCCAAATAGTTCCATCTTAACATTCCACTTGTTAATATATATACTGAATTTTAGTATTTCATGAATGCTAGAAGTAAAACACATTTCTGAAATATTTAAATGTTGATCATGGTATTTGGTATATTAAATTCCATTTTTCTTAACTTTGTAGAAACTTATTTCATTTTGTTTGCATATAAATTGACAATTTTTATACCATGTATGCATTGTATGTGCATTGGTTGAGCCTAGAATGCGAAGTTGGTTTTCATAATAAAATCTATTTTTTTAAACCTGTAGTATTTTATATACATACACTATACATATTTAAGAAAATTTTCTTTACTGAACATATCAAATTTGGGAAAAATATGTATAATATTTTTACAGGTAAGAATTTTACATAGAAGTATTATATTTTTTAAGACAAAATAAATTTTCTGAAATTATGGACTAGAATATTCATGTATAAAGATCTTTAACATTAATTTTCATCTTCTTGTAAAAAGAGTGAAGAATATGTATCTTTCCTAGGTTCTCGGGGAGGGTGCATTTGTGATAAAACATGTCTTGCATATTCAGAATTTAAAAGTCCTGCCTCACGGAGCTGTTGTTCCAATCTTACTCGAGGATCTCTGTGTACCTGTTAAAAAAATTAATACTGTTAATTGCTAGATTAGAACTATATTTTATTATAAATACAATAAAACTAAAATTAGGCTGAACTGTGTCACAAACATTTAACTTTAGAGCATTTCTTTTTTGTAAATGTGTATATTTTGCTTGAAACAGGCTGTACATGCTTTCAAGTATTAATACAGAGAAATCTATAAAGGCCTAATATATACATAGTGGTCCTATCTCTCACTTACATTTCAGACTGGAGTTTTTTTATTTTAATGCTCACTGCTGAATCAGAATGCTTCTGGGTATCACATTTCTGTCCACATGGAGATAAACAAGAGGTGTATACCATGAATGACAAATGTTGAAATACTTAATTAACAACTTTTTTTTTTACTGCCAGAGCCCCCTCTCCCAAAAAAAGTGATTTTACCAATTGTTATTCAATGTAAAATATTAAACAATATATTCATAATTTATTTTGAATTTGACCCCTTAACCCACATATTATTTTGAAAAAAGTGTCCATAATAATATTTTTTATTTAAGATAATTAAATATTGATCTTTTGCTTTTAGGAGTTTTGACAAGTTTTTGGAGAAAGGTAGGAGTGCTCGAACAATGCATATTTATGTATATTTAAGCTTAAGCTTAAATTTCAGTGTTGCCATTGTTTTACTCTGGTAGAAGTTTTATATTTATAGATTGTAATGAAATTAAAATTAGTTAAAAATTGTTTAACTTTTCCTATAAATCAATTCAAATGAATGCTTTCCTTCTCCTAAATTTATTATCCTTTATACGAATTTTATTTACATTTATAGCAAATGAAATACTTTAGGAACTTTTTGTCTGCTCCTCTAACCTGACATGGTTTGTATCAGCATAAGCTGTGACTTTAGCCATATGTAGTTCTTTGCCCCTTGTTTTAAAATAACTTCACTGTGTCTAAGTAACCTATGAAATTGCTTTAATTCCTAATATGAATTTCATCCTGCCACTATTTAATATCAGTTTTTATAGTATGGTACATAACAGTTATTGAGATAAAATGTAAATACAGGTTCAAACGAATATTTATTTTATAAAGAGTGCCTTTCAGCTTTTGTTTTCTGTGTTTTTAATTAAAGAGTATTTAGTTATAACATTGTAAAATAATATTTAAAACTAAACTAAAATTTGCTAGGAACCCCCCCTTTTTTTTTACTTTTGAAAATCTTGAATCAAATTGAGTTTTAAAAAAGTAGTTTATTTATATGACCAGCGGCCGAGCGGTAAAGTCGCTGAACACTGGTAGTTCGGTCCGAGGTTCGAATCCCGCGAACGGGCTGGCTGCATGGGTGTTTCCATGGTTTTCCCCATGTGTAACGTTAATACAAGCCAGTTTTCCTTAGAAAGTCCTCCACGAAAGGCATCCCTCCTCTTAGGCAGATAGCCCTAGTGTGCTTTGCCATAATTAAATACACACATTTGGAAAAGTCTTATTGCAAATGCAGAAGATGCAATAGAATAATAGACAAAAAAAGAATGCACAAATATGAAAAATTCTTCACAAGAAATCCCCTTCCATGAGGGAAGTGAATGAAATTTAGTTTAAGCCCAGGAATAGACAATTAAAATAAACTTGTGAGCCTAAAACACAGAATGTATGGTGGGGATAGTGCATGTGTTCATTAAAGTCTATGCATGATTTCTTCATGATCCTTCTGTTGTAAGTAAATGGTTATTGAATATTGTCTGTTGAAAATAATGAACTGTCTGTTACGTAGATGTCTGTTATGTAATTCGCTCCTACAACTCATCCGCCTTTTCCTAAATCTGGCAACAGCTACAGTAGCGAGATACTTCTTCAAGCTGCGTGAGGAAATGGACAGACTTCCATTCCGATGATGTTATAACGTGGCGATGGATGTAAGCTGAACTATGCCGTTCGACGATGTTAATTGATGATGTGATTCCGTTTCATGATGATTCAATCAAACTTTTTATCTTACTTCCTTTCACTCTGTACATACCATAATCATGTTTATTCTTTCAATCATTAAATACCCTTTAAAATGCCACTGCCTTTCCTCTATTTTTAATTCCTAACCTCATCCCACATGGGGGACTCAGCCCCACCGAACTCTTTCGACCCCTTGAACTAAAATCTGTTCTTCCTCTTCAACTTTTTTAAACCCCCTAGACTACCATATAACATACCACTATATAAGCTATTAAATGATGGAATACTTCGGAAGCCTATGGAATAATATCGCAAGATCCCAGTTGTTGTGATTCATCAGCACGTAAGTAGAGCTAATTTTATTTGATGAAGTAATACTAATGAGGAAGTAATATTCTTTCAAGTTATTATAAATATTTGATGACGCCTTTTTATGAAGTTTATTTGAAGAAGCGAAAGGCATTTGATTTTGATGATAATTAATTAAACAGTTTTGATGAAGTTTAAGTGAATAAACTAAAGGTATTTGACTTTGATGAAAATCCATTGCCGACTATTTAAGAATTGTGATGCATTAAAAAAGTTACTTTGAAGAATTACTTTCGTTTTCGAATTTGGTGCATAAATTTCTTATTTCTTGTGATGCCTATATTTTACAAGGACTGTAGAATATTATTTTAAGTTATTAATTTTGATATCATATCTTAACGTGAAATTCTATTTTTCATTCTTAACATAGTCTTATAAGAAGATTTGTTTGACGATATATTTTACTATTTGTTTGAATCATATGTTCACAATTTCATTTATGGTTTTTGAGTGTTTTACCATCATAGTTATTGTGTAATATACTAAGAAGAATTGATATTATTTTGAAGAATATGAAAAATTAAGAGTATATTTTGGTATACTAATTTCTGAAACCAGATAAATAACATTTGATGAAATCGAAACATAACATATTTTGTAGAATTTCATATTTGGTAAAAACAAAACTGATAACTAATGGCTACACTTAACGATTATCCCAACATTGCACAGTCATTAAAAACTGCCAGTACAAAGCATATCAAGCTTCTACATCGTTTAGTTTTTGGCTCAGATGGTGATCAGCAAAATCGTGCTAGGTTACGCAATTTTTCTGGCTTTCCCAAACCATTTAACTTTGAAGATATGAAACAAAAAATTATCAAAGAATTTTCTCTCACAGATTTAATTGCCATATGTAGCGTACTGCATTTAGAATTTTCCACCGATATTGAAAACTGTGCTAACAATATTCTTACGAATCTAGCTGATGTCTCATTATTAAAATCAGATTCCGCCGACCACAGCGACCTTGAAGAAGAAGCTTTGGTGCAAAGTTCACCCTCGACGCATAGCGTCGTCCAAACAGCCATTAATCACACTCCCAATGAATCTTTATGTAAACAAATGAAGGCAAAAATCTCTCTTGAAAGCACGCCTGGAACTTTATTGCTTTCACAAACACAGACTGTTCCGTTTCAATGTTTTGGCTTAAAAGACATTGTTGATTTGATCAAACCCTTTTCCTCTCGGGATAATTACAGCGTTTGAAACTTTTATTTCTGACATAGAAGATATTTTTAATCTCTATGAAATCATGAATCCTGTACACCAAGTAATTTTTGTTAAAAAATGTCTTACAGGTCCAGCTTTAACATTAATTAGATGAATTCGTGGATTTACTAATTGGGAACAATTAAAACACCATTTATTAGATGAATTTTCGGAAAAAATTAATAGCCTTCAATTACATAAAATAATGGAATCTCGCCACATGAAAACATCTGAAACCTTACAAGAATATTTTTTAGCTATGAGAGACCTCACACACAAAGGTTTCATGGATGATTCTTCTTTGATTGATTATGTTATAAACGGTATTCCTGATTCATCAAACAACAAAATAATTTTATACAGTTGTAAATCCATTTCTGAATTTAAAGAAAAACTGAAGATTTATGAAAAACTCTTTAACAATTCAAAAAATTTGAAGCAAAATACTCCAAAGAAATTTACAAATTCCTTTCCCAGTGTTAAAATTGATGCTAAAGCGTACCATCAGACACTCAACCAGTATGTTATTCCTGTGGTTTGAAAGGCACAAAAGCAATTAACTTGTACTAATAAATCTAATGGCAAATTCTGTTATGGCTGCCAAAATTATGGTCACGTTCATTCCAATTGTCCCAAACGTTCTGGTAGTTCTACCACGGAATCTGCTCCTAATTGTTCTACATCTGATAGTACTGTAAATGCACTTTCTACTCAAAAATTTTTCTAAACAATCCGATGCATGTTGATATTCAACTTAAAGGAACTCGATTAACTGCTCTCTATGACACTGGATCACAAGCAACACTTATTATGGAGAAAACATACCGCAAAATTGGTTCTCCACCATTACATCCTTCCAGAATTATATTCTCAGGGCTTGGCCGAGACACAGTTCAAAGTATTGCATTCTTTCAGGACTACATTCAAATTGAAAACACTATTTTACCTGCTAAAATCCATGTAGTAAAAGACTATATGATTCCTCTTGATGCGATTATTGGAATATACTTTTTGCAACAAACTCGATTTATATTTGATAAAGATGGTATTCATTTATGCAGCAATAATAATGATCAAATTTTTGTTAATGTTACTCATGATCACACATCTCAAAATCGGAAATTCTCGAAGAAGTTCAACATATCATTACTCCTCACAACCCACACGAAGTTAACACTGCTATGGAGGATTTTCAGAAAATGAAATTCAGTTGAAGAAAACAGTTAAGGAAAATGATGATGATGCTGCACATGACGATTTAGAATTGGATTTAGATGATGACAATTTGGATTGGATGATCACGATAACAAAGATGTTGCTGATACCAATCATGGAGCTCATGAAGATGGTGATGATGCAGACGACGACATGGATCAAGATCATGATATTGATGACGACAATCATAACACTAATGTTGCTGATGATGGCACTAATGAAGATGATGTTAATGATGTTGATCAAGATGACGTTGCTGTTGTTGATGAAGCTCATGT